CCATCAGATCGGCGATGAGGACGATAACACCGATCAGGTGGTTCTCAAGCCAGAGCGCTTCCGCATTGCCTCCGCCAGGCGCGGTCATGCCTCGGTGATGGCCGATCAGTTGCTTCTGAAGCGCATCAGGGAATGTTCGGAGAAGGATCGGGAGGTGGCCGAGGCACTTGAAAAAGTACAGGACCTCGGGCCGCCCCGGCTGCAAAGGGGTTTTGAGGAGTGGAATGCCGAACAAGGGCTTCTGCTGTTCCGCGGGTGTGTGTACGTCCCAAAGAACGCGGAGCTCCGGCGGGATATAGTCAAGATCCACCATGACTCACCGATCGCCGGTCATGGTGGTCGTGCCAAAACCCTGGAGCTCGTATTGCGGAACTACTGGTGGCCTGGGATGTCTAAATTTGTCAATGAGTACGTCAGCACCTGCGACGTGTGCAATCGTACCAAGACATTTCCCGCCAAACCCCAGGGTCCGCTGAAGCCGAATGAGATCCCCGAGCACCCATGGCAGATCATCACGACTGATATGATCGTCGGCTTGCCAAAATCTGATGGGTTTGACTCGATCCTGGTTACCGCCGACCGCTTTACCAAGCAGGTCCACTTCTCAGCCTGTCATGAGACCCTGATGGCAGAAGGTGCGGTAGACCTGTACATCCACGATGTGTTCAAGCATCATGGGGCCCCAGCCAAGGTCATATCAGACCGAGGTCCCCAGTTCGCTTCGAAATATCTCCATGCGGTGTACAAGGGGCTAGGGATCGAGCCGGCGCTGTCTACAGTGTTTCACCCTCAGACAGACGGCCAGACCGAGCGCTGGAATCAGGAGATCGAGCAGTACCTGCGTGCTTTCACAAACCACAGGCAGGATGATTGTGCAAAGCAGTTGCCGCTCGCGGAATTCGCACTGAACAACCGAGTTCACTCCGCGACCGGGCACTCCCCTTTCTTCCTGCATCAAGGGTACAATCCTGAGATCCAAGTGCGGATCAATCCGATGTCTGCGATGCCTGCAGCCGCTGATCGGCTCAAGATCCTGAAGGAGATTCGCGATGACACGCGCTCTGCGCTCGAGCTGTCAGCCGAGCGCATGAAGGTGTACTACGACAAGCACGTGCAGGAGGCACCGGTCTTCGCACCGGGGGACAAGGTCTGGCTTGACACTTGGAACCTTAAGCTGAAATAGCCGAGCAAGAAGCTCAGTCCCAAGCGCCTCGGACCATATGCCGTGCGGCGGAAGCTCGGAGACTTGGATTATAAATTAGTCCTGCCGAAGTCGGTGCCGGTGCACCTGGTGTTCCATGTCTCCTTGCTGAGCGAGTACACGCGTAGTGATATCCCGGGCCGGGAGCTGGAGGAGCCGCCTGCGATCGAGGTTGAGGGCGACAAGGAGTATGAGGTTGAGCGGATCAAGGATTCGAGGATCTTCCGGCGTCAGTTGCAGTACCTCATCAAGTGGAAGGGTTATGACGGCTCGCACACGTCATGGGAACCGGCGCGCAATGTTGCCAATGCACCAGCCCTCATAGCCGACTTCCACTGGAAGAACCCAAATGCCCCTCGTCGTCTCAATGCTGCTGTATTTGGTGGTCTCAACTTCCAGCTGATGCCTTCGCCGCTGACTGAAGCACGATGCCGCTCCGGGTGGAAGATGGGCAAGGGCGCCTTGCATGAGGTCATGCGCCGTTGAGGGGGGGGTAATGTCACGAGTTGGCATGGCGCCTAGCCGTTTTTTAATTTTTCCTTTTTGCGGGCTCGAACCCGCGACCTCTGTACTACTTGCCTGATATGGACACATCATATCTACTGTACAATTAGATTAGATAGGACGACAGTGCGCGGCACAGCTCGGGCTCCGCTGACACAGCCGCTCTGACTCACCGGCCCCCGGGGCCGCATCAGCATGCTGTGCACAGACCAGCTGCGCACGGACCAGCGCGCACAGCCTCCCCTAAACTTCCCCTGTATATAAGCCAGCCTCTGCTGCCCTAGGGACCTCAGTTTCAACCTCTTGTCCCTAGGTCAGTAAGCTCATGTATTACTTACCTACTTACCAATGCTAACTTATCTTGTCCCTAGCCTTAGGTTTGAGCTTCGCTCACCATCGCTTCGGTGCGATCCAGTCGAACGCCCCCAGCACTTAGGTTTTCCCCTGTCGCTTGACCTCAAGTCGCGAAATAGATGTTTTAATCTATTAGGAGCAGTAGTTATGAGGTATTGCGCCAATAGTCAGATTAGTGGGGCAGTTTTAGATTACAAGGCGAATATGTCTATCTTATACATAATTAGCATGGGAGGGTTTCCCTGATTGCAGGAGATAGTAGGATTTGAAATGAATGCAAAAAGGCGGTACAATGAGACAGCCATGAGATCTGAGTCCAAATATATGTGTGTGTGTGTGTCCTGAGGTACAGATTTCCACATCTGAAATTTGAATCATGTCGCAAGGCAGTGTAGCAGATGTTGCATAACCTGTTATTGACTGAAGGGGGCAGAATCCGCAGTGCATTCAGGATTTCCCGATTGAACAGATTGAATAGACAATGCAATCAATGGTTGGACATGGTAGCCTACTGGTCATGCCGTTGAATGACCATCCATCAGATTCTTGACAAAAAAAATGACCTTCCGGAAAATTCTTAAGTGGTGTTGTAGTGGGGGTTTTGTGCTCGTGGGATCGGAACCCGGGTGTTGTCAACGTTAGTACAGCCTCCTCGTGGACTGAGAGTTCGGGATCAGATTAGATAGAATAGCCCCAGCGCTAGCTGGGACTGGAAGGAGCGAATCGCGAAGAGAGGATCGCGTACCTGGAGGATTTCGTAGACTTTGAGGAGGAGCGAGAGCGTCGCCAAGGATCCAGCAAAGGTTCGAATATTAGATTAAGAGAATTGTGAATTGCGCGTGGTTCGCTGGCTCGTACGGGCCCATTTCCTCTCCATATATACCCGCAACCTAGAAACCGTCACATGAAGTAGTCGAGTACATGAGCATCAGTCGTGGTGTGCCGGGAAAGAACAATACCGTCGCTCAGCTTCATGCGATCGCGGGCTACGTTCGGGGAGTCAGCGTGACGATTCTCGACTCTATTTACGAACGCGTTGCCCCCCAACAAGCGGAGGAGGCATGATCACGCGCTCGACCCTACGTCCCGCGTGCAATCCGCGTCGCTCGGGCTGTCCAGGACGAAGGTTACAGGAGTGAAGAGAAGAAGAAAAGAATGAACAAGCTATCTTCTGCCGACCTGCACGCCTCACGCGCGTGTCTTATCTTATTGTCCTTGGTCTTCGCACGCTGTGCCGGCTCCTACGTGAGGTGCGATGCGTCTTCGTCCGGTTGTAGAGTACGAGGTGAAGAGATTGAGATGGTGTGAGGAGGTCGGGGTAGTCTAGCGATGGAGACTGAGACGGAGCGATCATGGTTCCGAACACGAAGCGCGCGACCCGCGCTTGCAAGTCATCTTCCTGCGGATTTTGCCAGTGAACCACTTGGCCCTACCACAGCGGAAAGACTAACCAATTCAAGCACGGTTGGCCCGCCTACATTGCATTCCTTAGATCGTACCACATGAACGGCATGGGTCCAAAAGACGAGCCCAGGTTTATATCTCCACACACGCTACAATTGTTTGTGCTTTCCGCCGCAGCTAGGTTTACAGAGACCCCAACGCAATAGAACATTGTCCCAATATATCAGTATGGATCATCGGAACTAGTCGACCCTCGGAAGGCAACGATTCCAACAAATAGAGAAGCAAAGCAAAACAAGCATGCACGATAGGATTGAAGTATATCGCGACGTGTGTGGCTTACGCTGAAGGGGACCGCTGTCCGCCTGTCGCGTAATCGCCCATTTCAATCCCATCCTCATCTTCTTTGGGTACCTGTGCCTCTTCTCCGCCTCCTGAGTTCAAGTCACCATTGTTGTCATCGAGATTGGGGAAAGCATCCACAAGGCTATCCTCTGCAGAGCGATTGATGATGTCCGAGACAAACTCTGCACTTGAGAGCCACGGCTGTGGGGAAGAGTTTCCCTGCGAATCGACGAAGGACAAAGATTGGGAGCTGAATGCCTGTGTTGAGCGTTCTGCAGCCTCGCGGATGCAGATGAGGAAGCGTGAGATGAGGATACTCGTCATCCTATAAGATGCAGGGGTTGATGTGTCACCAGATACCTCAAACTATGCATGAGAATGCACGCACACTGTAATCAAGCTTGTTATATTCACTATACTTGAGGACTAGAGTGACCAACTCAGTATGGGTAGTTAATTTCATGTGTACAGCCACGCACACTACTGATACTAATTGTGTCCTCAATCAGGTCCACAACGTTGAGCAGCGAGATGATGCTGTACATAACGTAAGTGCCATCATCCATAAATATATGCTTTCCTTCTCACACAAAATACAAGGTACCTGCAATCACGGACCATGAGCTGCTACAGTATATTGCCGCACATTTCAAGTAGTACTCACCATCCCGGAACATGACGGTCGTGAGGTTAGGCCTTGCAGTCCATATATCTCGTACCAGTTGTGTTCTGACGGAGCTCGTACGGCTTATGTAGTACCATGTTGCTACAATTACCAGGATGTCCGAGACGACCACTGATCCACGTGTAATGATCATGACTATACAAGGAGTAAGGGTGTCAACAAGTATATCTAGACATATGGGAAGAAACAACTCACCCCTGTGAACATTATTCAGCGTGTAAAACACGAATTGGTCAATGAAATATGCATACACATCCAATATGGCATTGGAGCCTGACACGATACTCATACATCCAAGTTGAGGAATGACAACCAATGTATCTTGGGTCAAGACCCACTTTGAGACTCCTACGTTAGTTGCAAACACCTGATCATACGCATTGTACTGACTATGTTAGTGCCTACAGGCACCATACCGAAGAGCCAGATTGGAAATACCCAACGCCAATTGTGTCCGCTCATAGCATGTACGCGCAAGGCGGCTACCACTTCAAGGTAGGGTGAGAAGGGCCCGTGGGACTAGAAGTGAGCTGCTTACATGGAAATATGCCAAAATTGACGAGAGCTACCGTATTATGAATATAGTTAGAAGACACACAGCTTGTAGGATGAATAATTCATAAAGAATGATAACCTGACACAAGGAGACCGACCTCTAATTGACAATGCACACCGTCAGTATGAGGTCCACATGTCACAAAGTATATGCTCCATACTTGCGTAGTATCCTCTGGAAGGGGCATGTTTGTAATGATAGTGCCAGTGATAGCGAGCCAATTGATGGCAGAGAGTAGTGTCGCAATGGATCTTCGCGCCCACAGACGCCGTAGATCATGTGGCAAGTTCAGGGCGACATAGTAGATCAGGAGGGCTAGAAAATGATCATTGCTGGAGCATTGGATAGGCAATGGAGGTACTAACCAGTACATGCATAATCGAGACAATTCGCTTGAAAGCTGCACCATGGCATGGATGTCAGTACTACAGAATTCGATAGGCGTGATGCTTTCCACTTGCGTGGCTTCCAGAATGTCTTCAATGACCTGCCCCGATGGTGTGCCCGACATCGTCTGATGAGTGAAGGGAATATGATTCGAAGTAGCCACGAGAAGGTTTCACAATGAGACAGACACGAGATCTCAGTGCATATATATGTTCTGAGGACGGACTTCTGCCTCCGAGCAAAGCAGTGAAATACTTGTCACGCGACTATGTTCGGCTAGAAGTTGCAGAATCTGCAGTGCACTCAGGGTCTCTCAGTTGAGAGGATCAAACATGTAGACCATGAAATCGATGAGTTCCCATGGTAGCCTACTAGTCGTGCCCTTGAGTGGCCGCCCATCAGACCGACGACGCGACGACCTCCCAGCAACTCCCTCAACACAAGGAGAGCATTTCTGAAGTTGAAGATGATCACCAGCACATCTGTTGATCTACTCATGCGCATGTATTTGTCGCAACCTGTCTGCTTCTGCTTCCCGATAACGGTATTTTATATCAAGATGCATTCGAAGAAGTGTAGTCTAAGCTCACCTCATGCGCAGACTCACGCAAATAGTTGCACGAGCAATGATTCCACTCCTGATGGCTGAACACCATACATCTGGGTTGCGAGTCGTTGCAGATCGAGCTAATTCTAAGAGCATGGTGGGCCCTGCTGATGGGTCAGGATGTCGTCGAAGGAAGGTGACCAAGACCGGACGAAGTACGGCGGCCAGGCGAATCGAGGTGACAAACATAGCAATAAACTCGCAAGACGTCGCAACGGACGTCCTGTTTCTTTGAGATTGCGTTTTCATGATTCTCCGAGGGCTGATTTGTGTCTTCTGTGCCTGCCGCTAGTAAGTGGTCCTCGATGGCGATCAACTGTGCACTCACAACGAGGTCCCTCATACACAATCTGTATGCCCCAAAGCCTACGCTGTCAGCTCATGAAAACACGAGGTTGTTGAATATAATAGCGACACATACACCATCACTCAACATCGGAAACTAGGGATGGTGGGATACCGCAACTGAGCCGAGACAAAACGACGAGCTAGTAGCTCACTGATTCCAATCACAACCGGACGGTATTGATCATTTTTGACAGCAATCATCTGTTCCGGACCGTGGCAGTGTTCAATTACGGTGCGAAGTATTACAGATGCTTGCGTGATTGACTTATCGTCTTCGAGTAACAGCCATTGATTGCAACAGATGCGCATTTGATGCACTGTCTGGAGATGAAGTCAGCGGGTATCAATTTTGACGGACAGCTTACACAACGATGCAGCAAGCGGACACATTTCACATTGCTGATTCCAAATATCTGACGCGAATCAATATAAGAAACATGCAGTGCAATGACCGGGCTCGAAGCTGCTTTCATTATAACGAGATAGTCCGCGTTGTGCATCCGAGCCTCATACCGTCTCATTAGCCCAAACTATATGCACGTTGAAGGGATATCCGGGAGATGTATGTCCATAAAGGAATAGTAACACATATGCAGAGAAGTCGGTCATAAATCAGCTGTTCCTAGACGCCGCGCCTCCGGACGTGTTGTTCACAAGGACGTAGTGCATAAACGAGTGTCTCCGCTATGCCGCCTGTTGAAAATCAGGCAGTGTACTCACCGAAGTGATTCGTTCTCCTCGACGACGGCCATGCTCCGTAGATACATCCTCGGCAGGGTGTTTTGTCGGGATCGCAGGCTCCTGAGCACTAGTCTAGAATAGAATCACAATAGACGTTGGGGGAAACAGGTGTGCGTACGGTACATTCTTGATCTCTTCAGTGTGAGCCTGTATAGCGAGAGATGAGGTCATGATTCCGGGTGTCCTGCTACCAGTCCGCAAGGGATCTTGACGTGGAACGCCCGCTGGGACCCGATAAGCGATCTTTCCCCCAGGAGTAGGCATTGAGCATAATGTAGAGATGGAGTATAAACATGAACTACGTCTACCAAAGTTATACCTAATTTTAGACTACAGCGTGCACGGAACCTCAAGCCCAGGCCACGTCTTACCAGAGACAGACCAAACACTGCATTGAGCGAGCGAGCGACTGGAGAAGCATCAGTTTCACAAGGAATGATCCAGACTATATGCCACTTATATGAGGTCTGCCACAAGCAGCGTCTTTCATTTCGCATCGAATACATAGAACACAAATATGATCTCCCACTGTAAACCCTAGCGCAGGGCTGTCCACAATGATTCCCACGCTCCGACGTAGGGCGCCTTTTTCTAGCCTTTTTCCAGCCTTGCGCACCGTCGTCGCGTCGTCGCGTCGTGGATATGGGCACAAGTCCACAGACGGCGACAGCGACCTCTGCACGACAGTCCATGGCATTCCAATCCGTTGCGCCCCCAGAATGCTCCCAATTTCTCTCACAATATCTTACTGCACAATGAGCCTGCACAATTGTTCTCCTCCTTCCGACATGCCAAATCGCTGAACGCTGCGGGCCGTCCAAGATGCTCAGGACCGGTCGCGCTGCGTCTCTCAGTATCCTCACACTGGCCTTCTGCCTTCTAATACTACAGCAACGTGGGATGACGCGCTAACGGAGACGCAGGGCCGGGCATGCTCGGAGGCTGCCAAGGACAAGGAAACGGTTCACGCTATCCAAGGGTGAGTACTATTGTCTTTTACATGCTCCCTATTCCTGTGTACAAGCTTGATCCTATATGTTCCTTCTTGAATGACCACGGGTCGTCGCAAGCCTCCTTTCATCCACCTGAACATATCGCTACTCGGGTTATCTCACGCTGGCATCCACTCGTTCGTTCGCGCAGCGCGAGTGTCTCCAATATTATAGAGTCGTCACTCACGCGGAAGGCCAGCCACTTACTAGCACTAGTCGTCCACGACTGCAGAAGCCTGTGTTCATCGCGTTCATAATCGTGAGCGGCTTGAACGCATTGATCATCGCTGCTGTACGCGTTGTATCCCGATCAGCTGCTGGGATATTCCCTATCTCCCTAAGGCGTCTTCATATGACAGCTCGGTCTGGTATAAGTTTCACCTTCCGAGACCGTACTGGTAACGGGGAAGTGAGAGCGTGCATCGCTCGTTGATGCATTGTGGGTACCGGGTATTCATACATGTTCGAACCTGCCTACTCGCTGACGGCTGGTCAAGACCGGCGCCCATAGCTCGATTGCAATTACCGTCCCCATCTCGAGTTGATAGGCAGGGACGCAATTGCATCAGGCACATCGGTTGATGGAAGTATGCACCCGGTAACTTCTTCCATGAGTGTGTTCGTGATCTGCAGCTAATTCCCCGTTTTCATACAGTGTATGCGGTGTTGCCCTCTTGCTGGGTTCACTACTATGTTCGCCGCATGTATTCTCTCTCCCTATCTCTGAAACTGTTAGCTCAAATACTGTTGCTACTGTATTTCTTGCGGACACTGAAATAGGGGAGTCAATCCGGACTCTAGCGCGTTCCTGACGATCGCACCGGTCTACCTACAGAACACCCATACGTTCTTCCCCGAACAACCCCGGCGTGACGCACTCATCAGGCCGCTGTCCTCTTCATATATCTGACTGTCGATCTCTTGTATTTCGGTGCGGTCGTCCGACTGGATCCTTCAGCAAAAGGACATACGGCGGATGGGCATACGGGCTATCAAACACGCCGTGTTCCGAATGTAGACGACTCGAGCGCGATCGCGGGGGCCCATTATTGTATGGGAGGATGAGCGCATTGGAGTAATTCGAGGGCATGCTAGTCGCTGGTGGGATAAACGCCGCTGACGAATACCGTGTGGTACGCCCTATTTCTATAACGCGCGTCATTGTCGGCTAAGGCGTTTTCGAACGGCGTGACCTTCGGGATGCTGGGACCCGTGCACGAGCGCTACTACTACGCGGTGGCTGATGTCGTGGTTCTTCCTTCTTTCGTACTGTTCTGAAGTCTTCCGGTGGCGTCCCGCTACTAGGGCAGTGGAGCTGTCGAGTACGTGTCCTTTATACATACTTACAAAGATTGTGATTCTGCATGGTACTTTAGAGCACTGACGAACCCTCGTGCAGCAATGGCAATATCTGGAACCGGTCTCATCGCGGTGCGCTATATCGAGCAAGCGAGTCTACAATGAGTGTCAGACACGTGTGATGGAGTTCCGTGACAGCACATAGGGCAACCAAGGCTAGTATCGTGTGCGCGAGAACCATCGTCGATATGTCGAGCGATAGCACCATGCGCGGGATGCAAACGAGTTAGAGCCTGCCTTGTATTTACTTAGGCCACCAATCGTCATACGTCCATTGGCCGTTTTCGCTGTGTCATGTTAGGATGAGCAGTTATTAATGGATCCACTCCCTACGAAACACGCCTCGAGCGGTGCCCCGATGGTCCAACTCATGGGTGCGCCACTCGTCCACTCACCGCCGCTCCCCTTTTTGTTCCCCTGTTATTCACACGACGTTCAACACATAGTGCGTCGTGTATTATCATTCAGTCCCGCTTGCATCGTATCTTGTGGACATTCATACGTGCACTCACTGAAAATTGGACAGAACATGCAGCCTGCCCAACTTTCTGGAAAGAGGATCCAAAGACATGCGAAGTATACGGGAAAATGAACGTGCAGAGTGTTGACACGATCGGTTGGTTCCCGTATTATATTGCGACGAGAACACAAAGCTGCAGCTGCCATACATCGAGGCGCGTGTACGCTATATATCAATCGTCGATGCTTCCCTCTCCTGAATTGAATGGCCATGAACATGGCGCACATACAACGCACGTTCAGAGCAGCGTGTTGGCTGAGTTTGAAATCTGTGCGGGATGACTGACGGGCGTGCTGATCATTACAAACGTCTTGAAGACATACCGATTTACGCCCGCGATTGCCTTACTGCGGCAGCTCGGCTTGTGAGCCAATTGCTACAAGCTTTGAACTAAGGCTGCGGGAGTTTGTTTGAAATAAGGCTGCGGGAGTTTGCCCATGAACAAGAAGTAGATATAAATAGGACAGCGCGCGATATTGCAAGTACCTGATCGTCGAGAATGGGAAATGAACGGCAACATTGAGGAATGTCGTCAGGACATGCATTTATCGACGACATGGATAGCGGTTGCGAATTCCTCTAGCTCTATTCCATCATTGCTCTCCTCAATTGCGTTATCTTCAGCTCTCGGATCCATGTCGTCTTCAAGATCAAATAAAGCATATGCGTCATTATCTCCTCCAGATGCGCTGGCGATGTCGGCGAACTCTAAGCTGGATAGCCAAGGCCGTGGGCCAGAGTTGCCTTGCGAGTCGATGAAGGACAGGGACTGGGAGCTGAATCCCCGTATTGGGTATTCTGCGGCTTCGCGGATGCAGGTGAGGAAGTGGGAAATCGAGATGCTCATCATCCTGGGACAGATTCAAGATTCTTGTGAGTAGATAATAGCGCCTATCGCTCATGAGATACAAACACTGTAATGATGACTGTTATATACCCCATGTCGATTTGAAGCTAGAGCGACTGTGTCACTATGGGTCATCAATTATTTGTAGATCAGCACGCACAGGGTTGCTGATGAGATATAATACAAGGTCAATGAGATTAAGTAGAGAGATTGTGCTGTGCCGGAAGTGAGTGCTGTACTCCAAGGAGCCATACTTCCCTACTTACACGAAGTACAAAATACCTGCAATCACGCAGCGTGAGCGATTACGGTGTACAATGTCACAGATTCCGGCTAGTACTCACCATCGCAAAACAGGACGGTTGTGAGACCGGGCCTTGCAGCCCAAACACCACGTACCAGCTGTTCTGCTACGGAGCTTGTACGGCTAAGGTAATACCATGTTGCCGCAACTAAGAGGATATCTGAGAGTAGTACAGATGCACGAGTAGCAACTGCCACTACATCAGAAGTGGGGAGATCAACAAGGGAATATAAACACACGGGAGAAGACGACTCACTCCTGTGAACATTAACCAGTGTGTAAAACGTGGAATAGTCAGTAGAATATACATACGCATCATATTTGGCTCTAGAGATTGATACGATGCTCACACATCCAAGTTGAGGAGTGACAAGCCATGTCTCTTGGGCCAGGAGCCACTATGATACTTCTGCTTGAGTCATAAGCATTTTAATATACTCAAGGCACTGACCCCGTTAGTGCCCACGGGCACCATACCTAGGAGCCAAACCGGCAATACCCAGCGCCAGCTGCCCCCGCTCACGGCATGTACACGCAGGGCGGCTACCACTTCAGAAATAGAATGAGGATGGCTGGGAGAATGGGAATTGCATTGCTTACATGGAGATATGGAAAGATTGACGAGGATTACCACCTCACTGGCATAGTCGTGAGATGCACATCTTGTGGAATAAATGATCTGTCAAGAATAGTATTCCGATATGTAGAAGCCAACCTCTGATTGAATTCACGTCGTCAATACAAGCCATTAAAGAATGAATGCTCCATACTTGTGCAGTATTAGATGGAAGGGGCAAGAGTATAATGATGTAACCAGTGATAGCGAGCCAGTTAATGGCAGAGAGTAGTGTTGCAATCGATCTTCGCCCCCACATAAGTCGTACACCATGTGGCAAGTTCAGGGCAACATAATATATCAGGAGAGCTGAAAGAATGAACACTTCTGAAGCATCAGATAAGTGACAGAGGTACTGACTAGCGCATGCATAATTGATACAAGTGGTTTGAAAGCTACACCATGGTGTGGATGTAAGCCCTACAGAGTTCGATAGATGCGATGAATTTCACTTGCCCCGATTCCAGAGAATCTTCAACGGCCTGCTGTTCTGGCAGCTGTCCTAACATCTCCCGCTAACTGACTGCAGGTAGAGGCAAAGAAGTGCTAGGAATGAGAAGTTAGCAACCCATATATATGTTTAGTACAGACTTCTGTGGTTGACGTACGTAGAAAGGTGGTGGAAGCTATGTGGCGCAGCTTGTGATTAGCCGATGCAAAGCAAGGCCTGCGGTGTGTTTAAAATCGATCAGTGTCCGTGGTAGCATACTGGTTACACTGAACAGTCGCTCACCACATAAATTGTGATGATTCATTACCACAATCTTGATAATCTTGATGGGTGGACCTCTTGAGCACAGTGGAATCACCAAATGTCCCCCTGCAGACACATCCGATCGTCGAAGCATATACTAGAATCAGTCGCCGCCCACTGCATGTTTGCCTCTCGGCAATAGCGAGTCATCACACTGTAAAACGATGAAGAAATGTAGTGTGTGCCATTTCTGCTGTAGGTGGGAGCCCAGAGGACTCACTGCTAGTCACAATAGCCTTAGCTAACATTGATGATCTAGCCCTCTGCTATTTCACGAGTGACATGCTGCAACACGACCAGTAAAGGTAATAGACATACCTTCCGTACGCAAGTACGGGTGTCCCGCTTCTCTGTGATCACAATGTTGTGGCCTCATCCAAATCTGCAAAGGTCGGGCTGTTGCCACCTGATAGTAGCTCCTACACCATCATGCAATGTCGAAAAGGCGCGGATACCTGTATATGGAGCTTGACCTGAGGCGAACAGACAAGCCAATGATTCACCGCATTTATCGGATCCAGAGTGTTGATCATTTCTTCACAGCGACCGTACATCCCGGAGACATGGACTGTGGTGTTACTACATCAGCTCCCAGTACAGCTCTGAATGACAGTTAACGAAAGATACAGCCTTGTTAGCTCACTTGGACATGATTCATTGAGGTACGCCCGTTCCGCGAGCTAGGCTCGCAGTGTTGAACCACGACAGACGATGTACATCATGATGCGGCCCGTGCCTTGATCTGCCTTTTCGATAATGAGATGGATCGCAGTGTGCACCGGACCTTCGGTCTTCGCGCTTTGTGTCCGTGCCCGCTGTACAGCCCAGCATCTATATACGTACAGAAACATTCTCTTTGTAGTGAACGTACGCACATGAGTTAGGAACCGCGAGACGCAGAGGACAAAGTAGGTATCCTACCTGCTGATCTTGTCTTGCTCAGGCCGTCGATTCGTGAGCCACGGTGTCTGTGTCTGATATACCGCTTTTTAACGTTCAGAAGGTGCTATTCTGCTTACCAGAAGGAGACACTTAATATGACGCATGCCATGTGGGTGTACTCTGTCATTACCTCCTTGTCATAGCACGTAGCTTCAGAAGGACATGATGATCCGCGGGAGACCTCGGACCCGAACAGAACACGTACGATCCATCCTTACTCGTACATGAAAAAGCCTTTGAATCTCATAACACAGTCTGAAGCTGCAAGACTTGTTGAATGTGAAGCATACGACGTGACAGTGTTTTTGCTTGAACGGGTAGGGAAGGACGCCGCTGACATGAACGTGTAACCCTAGCCTAGGGCTGTTGGTTTCTCACGCTTGACGCGCCAATGAACGCACGACCCTCAACCTCCCTCTTTCTACTGCACGACGTTCTGTCTTACATGGCCTCAAGCGAGATAAGTCGTCCCACTGTAGGTGGAACAAGACAATACAAGCACGGCGATGCCGCATCTTAAACCACACGGCCCTGCCAACCCGAGTCACCTGTAAATCTACCATCTATGGAGACAGCTCGCTTGGCGCTGCAACACTTCGCATGATCTGTTTGTCTTCCCAACTCCTCTGATCTACTATAGTAAGTGTCGACTGTAATTTACAACATCCTCGCCATGCGTCCGACCTGATGTTAGATCTCTGACGGGATGCAACGTCACTCATGCGCAAGTTTCGCGATGTAACCTCGTACTAATCCTTCTCTAGTAAATTGCACCACTCGCACCCGAGTGTCGTACATGATGCGATGGATTGTTGAAGGATTAGGATCTGAGTTATACTAGCCTCAAATCAGCAAATGACATTAATGAAAAGATGGCGTACTGTAACGGGGTGTATAAAATGCAACCGGCATCTCATGGTGTTGACGAGTAGCGATATGATTAGATTACTTCTCAAACATGGGAAGGAAAAATGCATGGATAATTGTACCATGAGCTACATAATGGAGCATAGAGGGTTAGTCATGAAAGGGCATATTTCTCGTGTTCGAACTGGTCATAGAACCACATAAATACTAATAATCACTCTCGGACTAGCTTCAACTGAATAACACGTGAATTCCTTGGCTCCGCCTAGGATTCACATCCGTTATGGTGAGAATATGAATCAAGTATAGCCAACGCACCGATTGAAACAGCTAGTCAAAAAGAGACATCTTGGGAGGCAGGTTGCACGCTTCCATCGACCGGCATGTCGGCTGTCCATCGTCGAAAGAGTCTTGTCATGCCATTGAGAACGCCGATCGCTTTATAGTGGACTTTGTGGCATTTGTAGAAGGCGTCTAGGGCCTTTGCAAAGCCATTTGGTCCACCCTTCGACAGTACCAACCCCGCATTGTATATGAAAAATTGGGGAGGGACGCGGGATTCTACCCAGCCTACGGGTTTGAAATCCCTAGGAAACGCAGCATTCCTTTTTGTCACGAGAAGGTCGCAATGAGCAACGACACAGTATCTATAGAGGGGCGCATTGGAGACTTCAAATAGTTCGTCGAGGGGCTGAATAGCATCGTGAGCAAGATACCAGTCTGGGTCATGTCTTTGTACTCACCAAGCCCCCATCTATGGGTACAATATCTTGTTCGAGATAATCATCAATAATTTGAGGCTCGGGCACGAACATGAGATGCCCCTTGTCCCACAAGCAGTGAATATCGGCTCGTACTATGTGGGGTATGGGTCAGGGCTACGCCGACAAGCCGGGACATATATACTTACGCAGTAAAATATTGAAGTGCGAATTGATGTCGAAATCCACCAACCCCCACCATGCTGCCAGTAGCCTACACTACATGCGCAGCCGTATCCGCATCAGGGTCGCACGAATGTGACCAAGGACTATTGGTGACTTACAGTATCGCTTTTGGTGCTCCGTGCAACGACATGCCAACATTGGATTGACTTGTCATCTTGAAGGCTCAACAGGCACCGTGACCCAGTAAGCGCCAACTGGGCGGCATCTGATTTCAGATTGCTAACACATGGCTCGCCTTCGGGCTTGTGGGCATTCAACTTGGAGCTTGTGTCTTGATTCAAACCTCTTGGACCCATAAGAGCTGTTGCGCCACACGAAGACTATCAAGTAAGTCCATGTAACATGACAAGGCAAGGCTCAACGACGTACATTTGGGGCGTTGGGGGGTCATTGGTTCGCGTGTTGGAATCATTACCGGAAGACTACGAGCGCCATGAGCGATTGCGTTGCTACGAAACAAGTGTGCTCACTGACTTAGGTGCTTCCTGCTTCATTTTCAGCTGTGCCTTCCGGGGTGGTGGCGTAGTCCACAAGCCAGACAATGTCAGGACGTCCTCCACAACGCCGGATGCATTGACTTCGAGATTCAGTCTCTTGCAGAATGCCGTCAGCGCCTTCACCCAAATCTCTTTGTCCTCCTTGAACTTCATGGCCGCGTTCAATACCATGAAGTGCGGCTTAGCATGGGACCGGATGATCCCAACCTTGTCAAATCTGTAGCTAAACTCTTGACGGATCGGAGAGTTGTCTGGAGGAGGACGTGCACCGGCCACAAGGTCTGGGTGAGGGGTCACCCAGTACTCGTGGATCTTGTTTTCATCGATAGCCTATACGCATTGTGGCGACGACTCGGATCATTCTTAGATTATCAGGCTGCAGCGACTCACTTCCAGAACCTTGTGCCTACCACCATCCTCCCATTTGCGCAGATATTCCTTCGTCACGCCAGGCATTGGCATGACCACAATGTCTCCACGATCCCACAATACATGCAGATCAGCACGAACTATATGCAAGTCAGCCCACAGGTATCTGCGTGCCTTCTGGAGGGAAGACGCACGAAAAGCCGCATTGTGGCTGGAATCTACATTAAGCCCTCCTTCAATGCCCCACCACCACTCCAGAGGCGTGAGCTATGTATGTGTGTATGTACACCGTCAGAGACATCGCATCCGCGTAGGAGCCACTTCAACTTACCACATGCGGCTTTGTGGCCCGTGGTAACACATGACAATGTTGAATGGATTTGTCCTTGAAACCCGATATGATGCAGGCACCTTCGTTCTGAGACTTCTTGACCGCTCGCTGTCGTGCATCCTCCTTGATGCAGACCTTGCGTTTCACTCTCCGTTTTGGAGTGGCATCCACGGGCGTGTCTTCTCGCGACAAAGCACACTCGTCTCCGTCGTCTGTTACATCTCTTTTCCGTTTCCCATGATTGGGCTCAGGCTTGGGCTCATGCTCGGGCTCGTGCACATAGCGAGCGACAGTGGACTTATTGTAATCAACTGTGGCCATGCCACGGTCAGGGCGAAGCCAGCGGTAGAAACGAGGACTCATACCTTTCTTAGAATGTTTGAGTCTATCAGATCGTCTCAATCCCGGGATATCCACCATGGCTAGGGAATCTGCGGAGATGAACTTGAGGTTGGAGGTGAAGAAAAAGACGGAGAGTGTGAGTGGCTCGAGCGGCTTTGGCTGAGTTCATATTATGGTGTAAAGCGCGTAACCACAGGCCACACGAGCCATTGTATTCCAAGTTGGATCTTGTGGTCATCGTCGACGCGGGTCAGTGACTGGCGACCTCCCGCATATTACCTAATCTACATGGTCTGTGCGAGGCGAGTCCTGGAGTTGTAATATCGGGGGCACCGTCTGAGGCGCGGGAGCCGTGCCCCGCTGATCGAAGGGACACACTTCGTCAAGATCGCATAGGGAAGCACGCTTGTCGATTGCTAAATCGGAATGGCACAGTCAGTTTGCGGAAGACTCGACACAAAGGCACGAAATTCACCTAGGACATGTTGAACGACTTCACTGGCGCGACGCATCCCCAGGGGAAATTTTTGTGTCCGCCTCAAAACCACGTTCTCGCCGCAAGAAGAAAAACCGGGCGACAGTAAACGGAACTGCTCAGAGAGTAGATCGTGACATCGACAACAAAGCTACAGTTATTGTTGAGACATTCCAGAAGGAAACTGGGATTAACACGGCATGCCTCCCGTGTCTGCTAGAAGATACGAGCATCTCCGACACAGAATGCAGCTTCTACCTACATCATGTACATATCACAGGCCTCATTGAATAGATCTGGATGGATTCTCATGACGCGCACGAGAGGTTAGAAACGATTGACCTCACACTGCAAGCGTTTGACATATATTGGGGATTTTTCCCAAGGTGGTGCGTAACAGTCTATACCGAGAAAGCGGCGATTGCAGACTTTACGACACCCGAGTCATGTGGAGATGAATCTGCTCGTGGAGGACATTCTGCATCAATGGAACAAATGAGTAAAAAGATAAACACAGCGACGCAGTGTCCCGTAATGGGAAAGACCTACGCCTCTGCAGGAGTCCAATGCGACCATTCCTGAAATACAAACCAGACCGCAGAGACAAGACGAGCGCACCCGACCTGCATGTCAACTGTGAAGCAATCGAAGATGCTGGATTCGGTGTATCACCAGGCTCACGGGGTTCACAAGGCTCACAAAGACCTATACGACTGCATAGAAGTGGTGTGCGCACCCGAGTAAGCCCAAATGCACTGTCCAGTAGATCGACTACACCAGGCGTGCTTGGTGTCGGGGATCTCCGAGAGTGGCGCTGACTAAGCAGCCTCTAAAGGCGCTGGTGGCGCACGCTGTTCGCGCTACGCCATCGTCACTACTTTGCTGAACTCGCGATATAGTAGACGCAATATGAACGCAAAAATGAATGGCCTTAACATCCTTATTCTTGATATGTTCCATACGCGCGCTGCTGAGCATCCCCTACGCGAAAGTACTCCTGCGCTTTCGGACGACACTGGCAGCTCCTCTTCACGCGAAAGCTCTCCGCCGGCTACACCCGTCTCTGGACTCAGCCGTGCACCATCTATCTCGTTTGAAGACAATTCTAAGCATATACTTGCTTCCGACGACACAGATATCAGAATCGTCGAACCAGACACGGACTCCTCGCCACCAGAAGATATCACCCGTTCGCTGAAACGGAGACGGTTGGCGGACACTAGGGCTGATGGATTTCACGCAGAGAGAGCGCTGCTGCCTGATACCTCGAACGACGTGACCCAAGCCGATGACGGCGCGTCCTTCGGTCTTGAGCATATACCCATCAGCGACTGCACAGGTGTCGGGGACGTTAAGCTAGATGCGGTGGACCTGTCGCTAGAATACGTCTTCCGTTCGTTGAAACGGAAGCGATGCGCGGATACGAGCACTGATGACGCTTGTGCAAAGAGGCCGCGGACGTCTGGCACTTCGAGCGACGTAACCAAGGCCGAGGACTGCGCTTCATTCGGTCTTGGACATATGCTCGTTCGCGAGTGTACGAAGATCATGGTCGCCGAGCCAGATGCGACTCCTGCGGTTGCCCCCGATATTTCCCTACACGCTCCGTTCGAAGCCATCGCTCGCCCGCCGAAGCGAAAACGGTGTGCAGACACGACGACCGATGAGGTCCGTGTTAAGAGAAGGCGGTTGTCTGACAGTCCGTGCGACGCGTCAAAGCTCAAATGTGGGGTTCCTTACGGACCTCACCTTAGATGCATGATTACCGGCTGCGTGTCTGTTGAGGTGGAGGCGTGCTATATCCTGCCTCCCGACACGCCTCAACCGTTGGTGAGTAGGGCGAATACTACTTCGACCTCGCAGCTGACAAGGCAGCTTTGTAGGGTGGTTGCACGACGCTCCGCATGCCTATTGGCTCTAATGCCGTCTGTTGTAGCACGCCTGTAAACATCATATTCCGTGGGTACTTGTTCATCTCCCGCCCGTTTTCCCTTCTCTTACAACCCACATGCAGTTCGACATGATCTCCGTATACTATGGGAAACGAACCGCCTGCTGATGATACCCCATCCCGACCATATAGACCACCCCGATACCCGCCCTGTATGTATCGTACGTCCCCTCAGGTGGTCGCCGCACTCACAGTCAAATAGGCCTACAAATACTACATCGTCGCAGAGGATGAGCACCTTTCAGACTCGTGCACCCCCAGACATTATACCATGACACCTCCAGTCGCGACGGCTTGCAGCCCGTATCGCTCGTTGGGATGGCACGACCTGAGTGCAAATTGCATCTCATGACAACTCGAGTGGGCCGTGAATTCATGAAGCAACCGCTCCACTACGAGCATCATCTTCTCAAGGACGCGCTTGCGCATATACCCACTATCACGCCCATCCACCCAGATGTGGTCGAGCCGGTCTTCTCCCACATCAGACGCGACTCACCAGTTGAAGGCATCTCCCGCCTGCCGAAGCGGAAACGGAGCCCGGACACGGAGGCTTTTGAAGTCCCTGCCAAGAGAATGCGCACGTCCGGCACTGCTCGCAACGTGACAAAGGTCGAGGACGGCATTCCTTTCGGACCTCACCCGAGGTGCATGATCACCGGATGCGTGTCTGCTGACGTAGAGGCGTGTTATATCCTGCCTCCCGACATGCCTCAGCTATTGGTGAGCAGACATGACTGCTATTCCGGCTTTTGTGGCTGACAAAGTGAATCGGAAGATGGACTACATTACATCCAACATGCGTACCAACTACAACGCCCTCCGTTGTCACATACCTGCGAATATAATATTCCGTGCGTGTTTCGCAACGTTCTCTCCGCCCTTTGCCGCCTCACATACTGCATGCAGTTCGACGCGATCTCCGAGAACTTTGGGAGACGAATCGCTTATTGATGATACCCCATCCTAATCACTTGGAGAAGCTTGAGCATGGCATTGTATGTATTTATGCCCTCTTGGCCAATCACCGTGCTTATGGTGATACAGATATACAAATATTGCGTCATCGTAGAGGACGAACACCCTCCAGACTCATGTACAACCATGGGTCAATCCATAACACCTTCCATCATGACGGCTCCTTGCTCATATCGATCGCTCGGATGGCATGAGCTGAATGCCAATCTCCGTCTGATGATGTTTCGAGCTGGTCAGAAATTGAGCAAGCGACCACTGCACTACCAACATGTCTTGCGGGAAGTACTACCAAACAAGGAAGTCAACCATGCATACAGCATAGTCTGGCGGTATGGGTCGTGGACTGACCCCCTGTCTCGCGAGATGGTGGCCGACAGGCGGTTGTGGGCAACGGGCGAGCTCTCAGCCTGCCCTGATGGTTACTACGACTGGCCCGAGAAGCAGTACTGTTCTCCCTTGTTGGATGACGACACTGTCCGCTTTCCTCGCCCATTTCGGCCAATCGTCTCAGGGATTAAGAGGAAACGTTCTGGCGACACCAGCGTGGGCATACTACACTGCGGAGAAATTTGCGCAACGCGAAGTCAGCATTCGTCAGTGGTGTCTAGATTGCGATCACGCTCGAGACGAGTGGACAATGGAACCGCCTGCGGAACCTGAGGACACAGCGATACTCGCTTATCGACAGGAGGAAGCCGGAGGTGTGCAGTCCGTTGTGCAAAGACTTTGGCTGTCGGAACGCCATTTCTCCACGTACGCTCTCTCGTAGATCTGGAAGTGAACATTTGACTAACGTTCTCTTATCCAAACTAAAATGTTCTACAGACACGGTCCCGAGTTTTGACACCTAGCCCCGTATCTCATTCTGTCACCGCGTGCGCTCCCTCGCCAGGTCTTGAACATTCAGAATGTCCTGTTGGAGCACCTTGTCGACCCGACTGGAGCTTCTATGATCACATGGACTTACAAGCGCAAATGGACTAATCCTGGCATCCCTAATTCTCATTAATGAGCCAGATGTATTTCCGGACCGTGCGTGGTCATTGTCGGCAGGGGTGCGAGCAATACGGCCGGGTCGAGGAGCATTGCGGTGTCTCATTTTCCGACAATGCTCGTGGCTCTCGAGCTATCGTCTGCATCTCCGGGCCTCCTTCTAGTGGCCATGGACATTATATGCCGGGTGTTTGCGAGACGACACACGGCGTCCATTAGGCATCAGTCTATACCGCCTTACTTCCCATGCAAACATCTAGTATGTTGAACCTGCGTTCATCTTGTTCCGCTTACTGACGTTTGGCACACAAGTCCTAGTTCCTCAGGTAAGTATTCCCTCACAAGATGGCTGAACGCGGTGTTACCGCCAAACATCAAGTCTTGACTTACTTTGCTTACGGAACCCGGGTATGCCTGGCATACTCAAGCGGATGAGCTGTGCTGAATGACAATTGTTAGCAGCAGCATGACATACAACGCGAACTCATGAGACGATATACCCGTATGTGCAAGCGGCAGCAATCCGATGCTAGTGACTGGCCGGAAGAAATTTTAGTTCCTACGTGGACGAGCCCGACATCGGCTTTTCATACGGCAATCTGCTTGTGTTCAACCAGTAGGAAGCGGCAGCGGATCTGTGAAATCCAAGAGCATGTGCCGTCGATGCCTATCGTTCCTGCGAATTATCCTCTCCGGCTCTCGATTCCGCAGCTATAAGTGGCCGGCTCTGAGCCTTAGACAGTAATTCTTTTCTCTGCTGTCATGGCGAAGCATGGTAGCTGGTACCGCTTTGCAGAAATGGTGGCCTCTGTGGCTCAGCCTTCGTAAGTGGTGCTACCCAACGAGGCGCTTCGAAGTATCTCACAAACGACAGGCAACGTTTTTGAGAGAATTCTCCAGCATTATGTATGATGCACCCGCCAATCCCACTACGGACTGACGGTACTGTCTTTCATATGCACCTGATACTTTATCTCAGATGAGGTTTATGATGTGTTGCTGCGATACCCAAAACACATATTCTACAGTCAGAACAATCCGTCCGTGACTCCTCGCGATACGCATCACTCGATTCATCCTGACAGCCGCCTCCGGTACCCACTCGTGTCCTCATCAGCAATCGCATTTATAATTCAGTCGTAAGCTGCGGCGGAGTTGAGGTAAGAGTCGCATCTGACGGTTTACATACGCGTCTCCTGACTCAGTTCCACGGCTCAAAGTACAGCTTTGAGCTGCAGCTCAACCCAAATGTGATGCTGCATTCATATTCCCGCCCTTGGGCGATCGCGGCTGAGTGCGCAGCTTCCGGTCGAACTTGTAGTCCGTCCTCGTCATTATCCTATGCGCGAGCAATGCTGTAAGTTGGTTCCTTGACCACGGCCTACAAACCGCTGATCTTGTCTCCAGGACTGTCACCTCCATCAATTTAGTGTCCTCTCAGTCGTAAGTCCAGGTTCTCTCTGTGACCTCATGATTAGATTGATCTCGTGACCGGACCAGCAGACCACCTTGGGACACAGAACAGTGACGAATCGTTCCAGATACCATCCGTGAATGATGCGCCCATATACACAAGTATTCTGGCATTGTCTCCCTGTATAAAGAGCGATGATTTTGTGATTCCGGGTGCGCACGAAACTTCAAGCCTCGCCCCCACCATAGGCGATCCTAAATGCTACTAGCTAGAGAAACATCAGCTGCACAAGGAATGACTTAGACTATGCGCCACCTGCATGAGACATGCCACAAGTAGCGTCTGTTATTTCTCATCAAACATGTAGGACACGAGTATGATCGCCCATTGCGCAGCGTAGGGCTGTCCACAAGGATTCTCACGCTCAGCTACAGGGCGCCTTTCCCTGGTCCTCGGTTCGTCATTGCGTCATTGTGTCATGGAGACGGGTCGCGAGTCCATGGCTCCCCGATCTGTTTCGCTCCCAACTCTGATTCTTACTATAATCTGTGCACTCCCGGCGGCCGCAATTCTCCTGTCGTGCCAAATCGCTGAATGCTGCGGGCCATCCATAATGCTCAGGAGCGGTTGCGCTGCGCCTCTCAGTATCCCCCGCACTGGTCTTTAGCCTGCTAGTACTACAGCAATGCAGGATGATGCGCTCATGGAGACGGAGGACAGTGTATGCTTGGAGGCCGCCAAGGACAAGGAGACGGTTGGCGACTTCTAAGGGTGAGTACTGTTGTCTTTTTCATACTCACATTCCTGTTTACAAGCTCGATTTCATATGTTTTTTCTTGCGCGACCATGGGTTCCCACTCAAATTACCTAACACTGGCATCCGCCCGTTCGTGAATAGCGGATGAGATCAATATTGTAGGTTCATCACTCACGCAGACGGCGGACTACTCACTAGCACCAGTCGCCGGCGACTGCAGAAGCCTGCGTTCATAGCGTTCACGATAACGGTATGCGGCTTCAGTGCGTTGATCATTGTTTTGTATGCGCTGGATCCTGATTTGCTGCTGGAGTATCTCCCATTCCCGTCCCCACATGATAGCTGTGTCTGGCAGTTGGCTCGCCTTCAGAGGCCGTATAGGTAGATGAGAGCGTGCCTCGTTCGTCGGTGCATTGTGTATCGGGTGTTTATACATTGTTCGACCCCGCCTACTCGCTGACGGTTGGTCAAGACCTGCGGATCGTTGGTGTTAGGCAAGAACGCGACTGCTTGAGGTACACCGGTTGATGGAAGTATGTGCCCAGTAACTTGTTCCATTTGTGTGTTCGTGATCCGGGACTACTCGTCGCATATACACTCTCTCGCTCCATCTCTAAAACTGTTGGCTCGAATGCCCTTGCGAAGAGCGGAGACTGGGATATATATCCTGACTCTTGCGCATTTTCCATGGTCATACCCTCCTACCCATAGAACGTCCATACGTTCTCCGCCGAACGACCCCTGCTTGACGCGCCCATCAAACTGCTGGCCTCCCCTCGCGTCAGGTCGTCGACCTCATGCACCTCTGCTCAGTCGTCCGACTGGAACGTTTGGCACCAGGCTGCGCGGCGGACGGGACCATAGGCTGTCAAGTCCGTCATGTACCCATATGTGGACGTGCTCGGGTGCTACCTCAAGGTGCCCAGGATATCTAGTGCGTCAAGGTCTCCCCGGGAACAATGTGAGTGCGTACCGGCCCTTGGTGGTATGTGCACCGCTGATGGATCCTGCGTTATTGTGTCGCTGTTGGCGAAGACGTCATCGAGCTGTTTCATCTGTGGGGCATACAAGCGTTCTTACGGGATACCGGATATGGTGGTCCATTACCTCACTTTGGTGCGGCCCAGGGCGCTTAAAAAACCGACGAGACATCATGGGGCGCCCATGGATAGTGTTGCGCATGTGAGAAGCATCGTCTATGTTTCGAGCGAAGTGACATGCATAGCCTGCGCGATGAGCATATCCTGGACGCAAACGCGCAATAATATGCGCGGACATCCATGTACAAGCCGACGCATCCGCCCTTTCATCACTATTGAGTTTTATCATGATGACCCTCAATCTTTTTTCTGTTCTATATGTTCGGAGAGGCAATTACTAATGCATTCACTCCACAGCCCGGACTCCAGATCGCAAAGCCCGCCTCGATCAACCCTCTCTCGCGTGTGCCCAGTACTCGCACTCTTCAACTGGCTGCCGCTCTCTAATCCAATCCACTGTCCCCAAATGGTACGCGTCTCATTAAGTGGCCCTACTTTTACAACATCTCGATTTTATCCTACCCACTTTGGTACAGCCAGATAGCCTAGGTCATGACATATCTTGTGAATTGATCCGAACGCTCACGCTCGCGGTTAAGCTCTAAACAGAGAATAAGCGCACATCGACGTGACCGTCGGTTTTGCCTAGACTCCTTATCCGTTGAAACGTTGACAGCCAGTCAGAACGTTAGTGCTGGGCCCCTGTCAGAAACACGGCTTAACAGTGTCAGCATTGGGGCTGAGGAAGAGTTTTGCCAGAGGGTCAACGATAAGGGAGGACAACTGCGACTTGCCTATCCATATGAACAGCATGCACGGCAGCACACACGTGCCAATGTATATAATCGGTCCCCGTAGTGTATTGCGACAAAAGCGCAACAGACCTGCAGCTGTCATTCATCGATTCGAATGCACGCGTGCTTCATGGTTTGAGCGACATTCTTGGCCTTGAAAGACCCCGCCAACGTTGAGCATAACTTACTTATCTTGGGCCATGCGGATTCGAAGGACTCAGTTTGACATCTGCGCAGAAGAATGATCAGGCTCGCTAGGCGGCACAGTTGTCTTGAGGACACCCCTCATTGCCTGTGAGCACATCTCCGTGATGGCTGCTATGGTGAGCTACTGAGGACACATCTCGAACTCGAATCGTGGGGCATGGCCCATGAAAACAGACTGAATAAATAGAACAGCTCGCGATACTGCAGGTACACGTTCATCGAGACCGGTGCACGTGCTGGGGAGAAACAAGTAATCAAAAAGGCTTGGAGTGAGAAGAAAAGGAAGGTGGGTAGCGAGATGGAGGAAAATCAGGATGTGCGTTCGACTACAGAAGGGCCAGAGGTTGCGTATTCTCCCAACTCTATTCCATCATTGCTCGCGATTCCTGTATCACCTTCGCCTCTTCGATGTAGGTCGCCTTCGAGATCTAAGAAAGCATCTACCTCACCATCCCCCGCAGAGGGGTTGACGATGTCAGCGGCAAACTCTATGCTGGAGAGCCACCGATGTGGGACAGTGATGCCTTGTGAGTCAATGATGGATAAAGATTGAGAGCTGAATGGCTGTATTGAGCGTTCTGCAGCTTCGCGGATGCAGATGAGAAAGCGGGAGACTAAAATGCTCGACATCCTACAGGATGCAAGATTTGGTTCTGTCAGCAAATTCCTTACACCATGATATTTGAGGGGTTACGCACGCTGCTATCAAAGTTGTCATATCCACTATGTTTTTAGACTAGAGTGACCAACTCAGTATGGGTAATGAGTCCGATATGTATATGTACGAACATGCACACTACTGATATTGATTGTTTCCACAATCAGATCAACAATATTGAGCAGTGAGATGATGCTGTACATGAGATAAGTGCCATCATTCATGAATATACATTTTCTTCTTACAGAAAATATAAAGTACCTGTAATAACGGACGATGAGCCGCTACGGTATACTATACAATCGCACATCAAGGCTAGTACTCACCATCTCGGAACATAACAGTGGTGAGAGTGGGTCTTACAGCCCACATATCTCGTACCAGCTGTGTTCTCACGGAGCTTGTACGGCTAATGTAGTACCATGTTGCTGCAACTACGAGGGTGTCCGAGACAACCACAGATCCACGAGTAACGATTGTCACTACATCGCGAGTAGGGGCGTCAACAAGTACATCTAGACATATGGAAAGCAACAACTCACTCCTGTAGACATCAACCACTGTGTAAAGCACAAAACAGCCAGTGAAATCCACATACACAATAAACATGGTGTCGGAGATCGACACACTGTCCATACATAGAAGTTGAGGAATGAAAAGCCATGTCTCTTGCGTCAGGATCCACTATGATACTTCCTCGTGAGCCGCAAACACCTTGCCATACTCATCGTACTGACTATGTTAGTGCCTACGGGCACCATACCAAGCAGCCAGACTGGCAATACCCAGTGCCAGTTGCCTCTGCTCATAGCATGTACACGCAGGGCGGCTACCACTTCAAAAATAGAATGAGGATGGCTCGGAGAACGAGAGTTGCATTTCTTACATGAAGATATGGCAGCAGTGACATAATATACTACTTGATAGGCATAGAGAGAAGAATCACATCTTGTGGATTAAATGATCTGTAACAAATGGTGACCTGATATGAGGGAACTGACCTCTAGAATGCACACTCTCAATACAAGATCAGCACATCAAGGAGTGAATGTCCCATACTTGTGCAGTACCGCCTAGAAACGGCATGGAAGTAAAGATAGTGCCAATGATAGCAAGCCAGTTGATGGCAGAGAGTAGTGTTGCAATGGATCTTCGCCCCCACAGACGCCGCAGATCATGTGGCAAGTTCAGGGCAACGTAGTAGGTAAGGAGAGCTGAAAGAACACATTTCAAATAAGCATCTGACTTATAGTAGAGGCACAGTCACTGACCAGTAGTTGCATAATCGATACACGCCTGTTGAAAGCTACACCATGGCGTAGATGTAAGTCCTATAGAATAATGTAGATGTGATGCTTTCCACTTACAAAGCTTCCAGTAAATCTTCAATGGTCTGTGCAGATAGTGTCTCCGACATCTTCTGCTGAATGACTGCAGGTGAGGCGAAATAGAGTGCAAAAGATGAGGAAATAGCAGCGAGTTAATATAGACCTTGAGTCAATATATATACGTACATGAAGAGTGGTGGAAGCTATGTTTCTCAGTGTGGGATTAGCTGATGCAAAGCAGGGCATGCAGTGTGTTTGAGAGCTCTCAATTGGGAGTATCATGCATATGACATTAAGATCAATCAGTGTCCGTACTAGCACACTAACCACACCCGATAGTCGCTCATCACATCCATAAGCAACTCAATGTTGTGATGATCGAGAGGTCGACCTGTGTAAGGGGATGGTAATGAGATCAGCGGAGACACCAAGTTTCTCCCTACAGACACATCCGATTATTGAGCCATATACTAGAATAATCCACCACCAACTGCATTTCTGCTCCTAGGCAACAGTGAATCGTCGTGCCATGTAACGATGGAAGAATGCAGCGGAATGCTATCAAAGCTGTGGGCGAGCGTTCCGAGAACTCCATTGCGAGCCACGATCTGAAATCAATGACCTAGAAGAGGCCTGTGCCATTGCCCGAGTGGCATGCTGCAGCACGACCGGATGAGGTAGTAGACATACCTTTTGTTACACAGGAACGGGTGTCTCATCGCTCTATGATTACAGAGTTTGCGTCTCGTCCGTGTCTGCGCACGTAGAACTGTTGATCCGTGATAGTGGCTCTTATACCATCGGGAAAAGTCCTGAAGCTGTAGATGCTTGGACATGAAAATGGACCTAAGCCAAACAGACGCACCATTTACTTACCGTGTCCTATCGCACCAAGAGTGCGTTCATCATTTGTCCACAGGAACCAACCGTTCCAGGTGTACAGACTGCAGTGTATACAGGTCTATTTCTAGCGGCCCTTAAGCGATATTTACGAGGCACACAGCCTTGCTTGCTTGACTGTACGTGAATCATCGAAGTTTACCCAAGATTTGAGCCAGATTCAAGTGTTTCGGCTTGCTGTGCTGAATCACAACAAGATGGTTTTATCGTGATGTGGTGAATACTTGGAAGCCGTCTTGAGTACGACAGATTTGGGTCCATCTGGGAAGGAGGACGTGCAATATCAACGTGGTCTGATCCGCGGTCTCGGTAGTGGGATGCATCGTATGTGCGCCGCCACTTCGGTGTTCACGCTTTACTTTCGTGCTGACTTGGGTATATGACACTAGTGTCTTGGCAGCGAGCGTGCGTGCATGGCTCGTCGATCGCGAGACGCAAATAGCAAAGTGCCATAGTATCTGCTGCTTTTGATCCTGTCATTCAAGTCATGAGCGAGGGTACCTGTCTCCGATGTGCCGTACCTTGATAAGGACGCCATCTTCCTTATCAGAAGCATACGTTTTATATGATGCGGGACGTGTGGCAGTACCCTGCCACCACGTCTTTTTCAAGGCACATGGCTTCAGACGCTCGTTGTGATCCGTGGGAGACCTCGGACCCTGACAGAATGCGCACAGCATGTCTTGAAAAAACCTTGCCTAAACTTCACAATCGTATCATCTCATACTCTTCGGCTGCAAGACTTGAATCGAACGCGAAGCTTAATTCGTGACGGTGTGTAGGGACGTCAGGAACGCCCATTCAACCCTAGTTTAAGATGATTTGTTTCTCACGCTGGACGCGGAGGTCCAATGAACGCATGGCTCTCGACTTACTTGCACAGCACGCTTTTCCATCTTGCACTTCCTCGGGCGGGATAAGACGTTATACTATAGGTGGAGCAAGACTACGCAAGCATGGCGTTGCTGTACCTTGAAACAGACGGCATCTCTTGCAGTTTTGGATTCCTACCGGTGTACATCGATGGCGACAGCTAGCTCCGCAGTGCGCACTTGCCATGATTTGTGTTTCTTTCTTACTCCTCTGTCTTTCCCGAGTACTGCGGCTGAGGCTCTTCAAGAGGATATTTTGGCCCTCTTGCTATATTGGTGAACATCTCGGCGTGTCAAACGGGCTCAGGACGTGCTTTCCATGCACTATGCCTTTACGCACGGGGCGGACTGTGCTCGGAGATCTTCAAAAGCAAAGATATCGTTGGTAATATCCAGGTGAGTGCTTTCATCGGTAAAGAGTCCTCTGAACTCTATGAAATCCTAGTCTTGCAAGTCTACTCAGGGGGAGACCTCCTGGTCTCCTCCCGAAGCAAGATCGTGGCCAACCTAGCGCATTCCCTGCGACCACTCGCTTACCACAGCAACGGAAGAATTTCCCATCCTGCTACACGTGAGGCCATGATACTAGCCTCATGTGCTAAACATAGCGTGCAACGCGTTTCAGCAATGTCACTTGGGCTGCTTGTCGTCTTACTATTGGCATTTTCTTGTGCGTAATCTTCCTGACTTTCTCCCCCACAGATGTTTCGATGTCGAACGTCAGCGCACTGCGACGTCTTGCTCTGTTTCGCGCTGCTATGGCATCTGATAATTAACGTGTTTGATCCTCTGGGACGGGTATCGAAGAACTCGCTAGCGCAGACTTACTCACGGCGCATCGCTATTTGTCCACCCAGTCGTCCAATCTGGTTTTTTCTTGAGCTCACTCAATCTTACGCTGACACACTTCCGAGTGATATATAAAAAGTTGAACACGCAGCACGGCGATTTATGGATACTAGTGTTTGACGGTCCACGGCAGATGTACCGTACCTCCCTCGGGGTGTACCGTTCTATCAGCTCCGAATGTTGGTTTGCAGTGCATGCTCATATAATTGCTCACATTCACGCGCCGGGAGGAATATCTGTGCGGCTTGTAGAGAGACACACGCGCTATATGCGATGCAGGGGAGGTGTGAGCGCTCATAACTAGAGGATTCGACTGCTCAGAATGTAAGCTTTCTCCGGCGCTCAATCCGGCGACACCGCCAATGGACGCAGGGGAACAGACTTGAGCCGTGTTCTCTTTTCGAGAACCACTGGTTAGATATTGGTATTTACACAAGTAGAAGGGTATCACGACGTTTTTTACAGGTTGACGTCGAAACATATAATGAGGTTGTTTGCGCTCCCCGTCGACATCATCTCAGTAGCTACCGGACGGTCCGAATTATATGTTACACCAAATTATTGCGTCGGACACGCCATGCTGCAGACTGCGGGTCCCAACCGAATGCAGGATTTGGTATGTACATGGTCGATTCTCTGAGTCTGATCTGCTAGTCAATTGCTCGAAGACTCTGCGAACCGCTCCACACGGTTCGGGCGCTCAATAGCTCCAAACGCGTGCCCAAGCAACCCTAGAATAGGTCGGTCTCCGCATGTCGACGTCCAGTACGAGTATTCATGAACTCACCCGCCCTGCGCTTTGCTTTTATCGAACGTGAACTGCCCTGGCTCTACTGACCGCAACGTATGTCTTCAAGTCAACTCCTTCCTTGCCCTACGGATTTGTCTGCTCTATTCACCACCGGCGCGTCACTGAGCAAACTTCTTCGATCATGACGTTCTCTCGGGTATATACGCTCTTCGCAGAGATGGGCCGCAAGTCTATGGACGGAGACAGCAAGCTCGGCACGGCACTCCTTGCTATAGCAGTCTGCTGCACCTTCAACGCACCTGGCTTCTCTGAATATCTCACCGCGGTTCATGTACTCCCAGCCGGGGGCAATTACGTTTCTCCACCCGCGCCATGTCAAACCACTGAACACTGCAAGTCGTATGTGACGCTCAGGAGTGGTCGCGCTGCGTATCTCGGTATCCTCGGCACCGGCCTCCAGTTTCTTGCTAGAGCGAGGCATGCTTGGAGGTTGGCAAGGACAAGGAGATAGTTCGCGCTATCGAAAGGTGAGAACTCTTGTCTTTTTCATGCCCCTTAGCCCTCTGCCAAATGTGTTTCCTTTCGTATGAGCTCCTTCCTCTTCCTGGACAGTCTCCGCAAGTCCATTTGCACCCGGCCGAGCGGAATCCCATTGCGGTGCCCTCACACTAGCGTACACTCGTTCGTCAAGGGCGGGTATGATTACAATTATATGATATCTACTCGCGCGGACAGGCGACTATACATAGGCGCGGACAAGTTGCCCACGACTGTCTGTGCAGAATCCCGGATCCATAACCATGCGCGGTCTCAATGCATTGATCGTTGCTTGTATATGTGTCAGGTCCTGATCTGCTAATGCGGAAACTCCCCATCTCTTTGGGGCGCCCCCGGTCTGAGTTTTCGTTCACCTTCTGAAACTGTATGGGAAGATGCAAACGGATATCGTTAATGAACGCTATGTTTATCATACGGGACCCGTCGATTGGGGATGAAAAACAGAGTGCTATTGGTGGGAGGAATTTGTCTTTCTCCACATATCACCGTTCTCTGTCGTTGCAGCCTGCTCGTAGTGATGTACATGCCGGCCCCGCATGTTTGTGACCGTGACCTCATAATGATGATAACGCTGCCCTCGGCGCAAGATCGCAAGTAGGATGCAAAAGTATCTCGAGGTCTTCGAGAATGAGCTAATTGGCGAGAAACGAGTGGAATTTTCCGAGTCCCTGCTCCTAATTCGCAAGGCAGATTTGATGCCAGAATTTCGCTGGGCTACTAGCAGAGATGGAGCGCAAATCCAAAATACATCCCCCATTGTCATACTTAGAATTCGGAGCACTCAAACGCGCGGCAGTGAATTGAGAGGTGGTCACGTCGTGAGACGTAACCCTAGCGTAGGGCTTTGGGGAGACCTTGCTCTTTTTCAACAAGTCAAAAATTGATATTCTGCTTGACTGTACGCACGCTACGACGTCATTGCCACCGGTGGTCTGCTCGGATACGACCGTGCATCATACAACATCAAGTCAACATACACCAACCAGCATGACGCGGAATCAGCAATCATTGTTTTTCCTATGGCTTGTTCACGGTCGCTCAGGCACATATGTAGAACGCTATTGATTTTGTCGTCTCTCATGGGGACGCTACGGTTCATCTTACAATCGCCCCCGCCGCCAACGTACCACTAAATCCAGAACAAGATGGGATTATCGAGGGTTGCAGGATACGCAAAGCGGAATGTGCTGGGAGATTTCTAAGAACAAGGACATGGCTCGCGCTGTCAAGATGAGTACTTCCGTCATTTCGACAATTCTGTGCTTCCAGTGAACTCTCTCACTGCAAATCCATATTTGAGATGCTTTCTGAGCCCCTGCGTCAGCGTGACCTACACGCTCACTCTTGAACAACAGAGTCCATCTTGGTTTAGCCTATACCGGCGAGCACTCGCCTGTGAAAGGTGGAGATGATGACTGACGCGGGGTGCTCAGATGTCTTATTATTTACGTCTACGAACTACATGCTCACGACTGCAAAGGTATCGTCCACTATGGCCCCATTGCGCTAGATATCGTCCGCTTATACGTTCAATATCAAACTGGTTTTCAAAACGTCTCTGCAAGGTTGATCTCTGCTGATGTATGCCGTACTGAGTTCTAGAGCGTTCACAATGCTGCGCCTTCCCTTGCGTGCTATGCTATTCCATGCACTTTTCCGGATGTAGGCGCATTCGCAATGATCGTGTCAGTTCCTCCTCAGCGGAAACCGTTCTTCTATGTGACCCTCTGTCGTTCTCTTCGGTCCCATTCACTCTGCAGAACCTGCCTATCGCAAGCACGGCAATCACGCTTCTGCTGTTCAAGGCGACCACCTGCGCGCCGCTGCCCATACCCAGCACGCCTGGGCGCGTACAGTGGAACTAGAGCTGAGAAGGTCCCAAGCATCGCGTTGCTCGAGATCTTTTAGCTTGTCACAGAGGTGTTTGGGGAGGTGCAAATAGGTTGGCGGGAAGGGAAGACGGAATGGGAGGTGCCTGAGGAAGTAGATGCGAGCAGGCTCCATTGAGGAGCGTACGCAAGGGAGTATCAGGTCCCCCTTGAGGTGAACACAGACACAGAAGACGCTGTTAACAGTGCCGCCAAACACGGCCGTCTGCAGCAACACGGAATTCTACTTTCTTCCCATCTCCGAACAGTGGTCGAGCAGAGACGATTATGGTGGATCTAGTATGTGTTTTCGAACGTCCTACATCAATAGTGCATCTCTGATGTAAGCACACAGTCATACAGCTCCTCAAGACCTCGTATATGCTCGTCAACGCGTCCTTATCGACCGAGATCATTGCCACTTTCAGTCCACCTCATCTGCACCTCCTTACAGTGATTATCCCTGACACATTACATGTCAATTGTAGCCGTGTTCGATGTTTTTGACGACAAAGCCAACTCCACCGCTTGCATCGGCCTGAGCGGTTCCAGGATACTAGGACAGTCCAGCGGGCGCAACATGAGCGTTTCCACTGCCGGTACGTTTGATCTATGATTGTCACGATGTACCCACTCGCGTAAATATTACTATCGGTGCCGACGCGACTCTCTTCAGCCTAATTGAACAGAGGGATAGCATCGCTGTGCTCCAGAAATAATTGACGTGTTCAAGATACATCTCGGTAGCTGTTGGTGTTTCTCGCGAACGCGTTTTAATTAGAAGACCCCAGCAGTGTCGCCATCCGGTAATACATTGTGCTACCATATGCTATACACGCATACATGATATTGATAGCATGGTCTCGTATACAGGGACTGGACAGCTCGGCGCCGACATTCTTTCTTGAACATAACGCTTGACCCAAAACTTGTCTCTTTCGAGTCGAGCTGGAAGTTCTCCGTGCAGTAGCTCACTTCAATAACGACGTACCCGACGCATGTCACTGGCATGTTCGAAACATAAATCAAGCTGATAGATGCTTTGATCAAGTTCGCGTGAATAGCGAACGACTGTTATAGGCGGACGCGCGTGTGCTGCAACACGGAGAGGTGAGTGACGCACCCGCTCTTGACGCAGGCTGAAAGCATCACTTATGAAAGATCATGAACCCTTATACAAAACAAGAGTTCTCTCCTCGCATCAGGCTCTTTGTTGATAACCTGCACATCAATTGAGAGAGCCAAGGGAGGACTCGCCGCGACCTCCTCGCGCATCCACCAAGTCAGCAGAACCAGGGCCACGGGAGCGATGCATCAAATAGCATTGAACCAGCGGCATGAGCACGGGTATAGCACGGATGGTCGCACTCGCCATGTACAGTAGTACAAGCACCACATCTTTCGATCACGGTTATTCCGCTACCTATATTGCATAGCTCAGCGCATATAAACACCATATCCTCGAAGCGGCATGGGTGCGAAGGAAAAGCCGGGATTCTTACCTGCTCAAAAACATGAAGAAAATCTTCATGAGCGCCACAATGGCGTGTGCGTTTCCGCCGCAGCTTAGAGTGCAAAGATTTTGGACAAATAGAACATTTCCCAATGTATCGGTGTAGAATAATCGAAACTGGTAGACCATCGGGTCCAACAATAGAGAAACGAAGAAAATCGAACGAACAGCATGAATGAAGTATATCAGGATGTGTGTGCCTTACGGCGTAAGACGCTGCTGTCCACCTCTCGCGTACTCATCCATCTCAACTCCATTCTCATCTTTTTCTGGTACTTGTGATTCTTCTTCGCCTCCTGAGTCCAAACTGTCATAGATGTCATCGAGATCGAGGAAAACATCCGCATGATTACCCTCTGCAGAGCTGTTGGCGATGTCGGCTGCAAACTCTATGCTGGACAGCCACCTGTGTGGGACAGAGTTGCCTTTTGACTCGACGAAGGATAGAGATTGGGAGCTGGATGCCAGTGTTGAGCGTTCTGCAGCTTCGCAGATGCAGATGAGGAAGCGGGAGATCAATATGCTTGACATCCTGTAAGATGCAAACTCCATATGTCAGCAGATATATGACAGTATGGTGGGTGAGAATGTACAGACGCTGGAATCACGTTGATCATACTCATGGTGTCGTTGGTCTAGAATAACTATCTCTGTATGGGTCATCAATGGCTTGTGGATCCATACGCACATTGATGCCAATGAGTAAGCAACAAGATCAATAAGGTTAAGTAGCGAGATTGTGCTGCGCCGGCAATGAGTGCCGTACTCCAAGGAGCCGTAGTGCCTCACTTACATGAAGTACAGAGTACCTGCAATCACAGAGCATTAGCGGTTATGGTATACAATTTCACACATTCCGGCTAGTACTCACCATCGCGGAACATGACGGTTGTGAGATTGGGCCTTGCAGCCCACACATCACATATCAGCTGTCCTCTCACGGGACATGTATGGCTTATGTAGTACCATGTTGCTGCAACTACGAGGATGTCCGAGACGATCACGGATGCCCGATTAATGATCACCACTATATCTCGGGATAGGGATGTAAACAAACATGTATGTACATGGGGAGAAGGAAACTCACCCCTGTGAATATGATTTAGGGTGTAGGAGCCAATACAGTCCATAAAGTCTGCATACACATCGTATATGGCCTCGGAGATCGACTCACTGCCCATACATCCAATTTGAGGAATGACAAGCCATGTTTGTTGGGTCAGGAGCCACTATGTTACTCCTGTGTTAGTCGCAAACACCTTGTCATACTTAATGTACTAACTATGTTAGTGCCCACAGGCACCATACCGAGGAGCCAAACAGGCAATACCCAGCACCAGCTGCCTCCGCTCAGGACGTGTACACGCAGGGCGGCTACCACTTCAAAGATAGAGATAAGGATGGCTCGAAGAACGGGAAGTGTGTTGCTTACGTGGAGATATGGAAGAATTGACGAGGAATACCACCCAATAGGCATGGCTGGGAGACGCACACCTTGGGTGGTGGATAAGCCGTAAACAATGATAATCTGATATGGGGGAACTGACCTCTGAAATTTACGCCATCAATGGAAGATCAGCACCTCAAAGAGTGGATGTTCCATACTTTTCTAGTACTATCTGGAAGGAGCGTGGGTATGATTATAGAACCAGTTATAGCAAGCCAGTTAATGGCAGACAGTAGCGTTGCAATGGAACTTCGCCCCCACAGACGTCGTACATCATATGGCATGTTCAGGGCAACATAATAGGTCAGGAGAGCTGAAATGATGAATATTGCGGAAGTGTTGAATAGATAACAGAGGCACTGACCAACACCTGCGTAATTGACACAATTCTGTTGAAAGCTTTACCATGGCACGGGTATAAGTCCCGCGGAATTCGGTAAATGCAATGATTTTCACTTGCTTGGCTTTCAGGTCGTCTTCAACGACCTGCTCCGATGGCGGTCCCGACATTTCCTGTTGAATGGTTGCAGGGAGATGAGGGGAAGTGCCAACAATGAGAAGATAGCAACGAATAGGTATGGGACTTGAGGCCATATATATACGCCTAGTAGGAATTTCTGTAACTGAACTGCGTTGAAAGGTGGTGGAAGCTATGTCACGTAGCCTGTGATTAGCTGATGTAGAGCAGGACCCGCAGTGCTTTTGGAGGCTCTTAATCAAGAGGATCATAGATATGAAACGACTATCAATCATTGCCCATGGCAGCGTGCAGTCGTTCATCGCGCTAACCAGAAACTCAAGGTTGAGATGACGTGCATTCATGACCACCCCTTCGATGGTTGGACCTTTTGAGATCTGTGGATTTACCGCATTGATCACTACGGGCTAATCCAATTGTCGAAGCAGATACTCGTGTCATTCTCCATACACTGCATGTCTGCGTCGCAGAAATAGCGAATCATCGCACTACTCAACGTTGGAGGAATGCAGTGTATGCTTTCCAGATGCGTAGACATCGGACGTCTTGGGTGAAGTATGATTTCTCCGCTGTACACGGAGAACAGGAGGACTCAGCTGCTAAACACGATAGATTGTGCTGATATTGATAATCTAGAAGAGACAGATGCCATTTCCCGAGTGCCATGCTGCAACACGATCAGTCAAAGTAATAGACACACCTTTTGTACTCAGGTACCGGTGCCTCGCGTCCCTGTAATCACGAATCCGCGGTCTAAAGTCTGCAAACGTAGGGCTGTTGATAGCGGCTTTCACACCTCCATGTGCCCGTATATGGCGACTCACCTGCAACAAATAGACGAGCCAGCAACTCCCCGCATCCTATCGCAACATGAGCATGTTTATCACGTCTTCAGAGCGACGAGCTATTCCGAACCTCTGGACTGTGACGTTCGTGGATCGATTCCCGATAGGGCTTTTAATAACAGTGATGAAGCACACAGCCTTGCTAACTCACTTGTACGTGATTCAACGAGGTACGTTCGTGATTCAAAAAGTATCCGAGGAGTTCGGCTTGCGGTACTGGATCGCGACAGATGTACATCGTGACGCAGTAGAGACTCGTATTTCGTCCTGCTTGTGGCAGATTTCAAATGATCTGAAAGGGGAGAAGTACAATTTCAGCGTGCATTGGTTTGCCTTCTCAATCGTGGGATGGATCGCATTGTGCATCAGCACTCTGGTCTTTGTGCTTTCTCTGGCTGTTCATAGTACAGCCCAGTAGCTATATGCGTACGCAACTATTACCTTTGCAGTAAGCGCGCGCACATAAGCCATCAATGTTTCAACCGCCAGACGCAGAAAGTAGGTACCGTATCTGCTGCTCTTGATCCTGTCTGTCCAACACATTCAATTCGCGAGCCAGGGTGTCTGATACACCGCCTTTCGACGAAGACATTCTTCCGCTCACCAGAAGGAACATCCAACGGACGTGTATCGTATGGTCGCTACTCTGCCATCACGTCCTTGTCATGACACATCGCTTCAGAAGGGCATTGTGATCCGCAGGAGACTCCAGACTCAAACAAAATGCAGTGCGTCTTTGCATGGACGGTGTCAGGTATTTTTATCACATTGAACAGTCTGACACCGCAAGCTGCAAGATTCGAATTGAACATGAAGTACACGACGTGACGATGAAGGAACGTGTGGGGAAGGGACGGAGTCATAAACGCCCGTCTAACCCTATCCTAGGGCTGTTTATTTCTCACGCTGGACACGGGGGCCAACGAAGGTGAGACTCTCAACCTCGCTCGTTGTATTTGCACTGCACGCCTGTATGTCTTGCATGACCTCAAGCGAGATATCGATAAGGACGTCCGACTGTAGGTGGAACAAGATGATGCAAGCATGGCGTAGTCATATTTTAAAACGGCTTCTGCCAACCCGAGTCGCTGTTTTAGCTTTGAGTTTCTACCGCTGAGTTTCTAATGCTGTATACCTATTGCTCCTCCCCTCTTGCATTGTGCTATTTCACGTCAAACAGGTTCAGAAAGCGCCGTCTAAGTAGAATGCCCTACACAGGTCTAAAATGGTTTGAAACCTTCAAGAGGATGGATAGCTGTCTAGGTAAGTACTCTCATCCTGGGAATCTTCCCATGCCTCTATTGCATCCTGGTGCTGCACGTCCGCTCATGAGGAGGCATTCTGAAGCCCTATCCTAGTATTTCCGCGGCGAGCCTGGCGCATACCCCACTCCGGTCAGCCTACCGTGACGATCGCCCATCTATGATGAATGGAAACGATTCATGGCTCAGGGTACTCATACATCCGGACTTCTTATCATAGATACGGATGGACCCTATACCTAGTTACAATGTGTCAGAAGCTTTACGTCTTCACGTTTACGGTGGACGTGCATGACCGACACCCTATAGGGCCTTCATCCCGAGTGTTGAAGACCCTGTATTGCCATACGTTAACATTGTCGGACGCATTTATTACGTTTGTACCTGTACACCTTGGGGATGTACATGCATTGTGCGCTCATATAGCCCCGTTCCTCGCTGTGTGTCCGACCTGCTGACCTACTACGATTGAATGTCTAGCCAGATGCTCCCACGTGAGGTCACCGTGGAGGAAGGACACGCCGCCTATTACGCTTGCCTCACCTGCGGATGCCTGCATGTTCGCGCGTGACTACAAGGGCGCAGAAAACCGATCGCATGAGTATATGCCGCCTATGAGCGCAACGCGCGTTATGCCGACGAGTGTTCTGAAGGGAGATTGCGGCGGAGCTTGATATAACTCTGTCAACGAGGCGCTCCCCGTAATAGCCGATCCGGCACAGAATCTTCTACATTCCAATTATCGCATGCGGCATAGAAACTGCTATTTTCGCCGTGTCTCCTGGAGCACATCACGGCATCACGCTTGTGCGAAAGGCAGCGAGGCAGAGAATGGAGCAGTCAGAACTCGAGCGCCCACCCGTCATGGAAGCCCCGTATTTGGCTTCATCTGTTACCTCTTTTACGCGTCACCGGTTGTCCTCGGAACGTATGGGCAGTGGTACATCGGGGTCGGATCAGGCACTGACATCGAACACTGTCCCTTTTGTCGTCTCACATCACATCGTGTCGGAGAACCTCGCGGCGAATTTAACACGCTCACGTACTGATTCAGGCACCACCTCACACCCGCCACTGCCATCAGCTAACTGCTGGATCCGGAGCAAGTTGGAGTCAACGAAGGGTTGCAAGATATGCAGAGCAAAACATACTCGAAATTCAATAAGGGAAAGCACATGGATCACGTTGTAGACGTGAGCGTCCCCGTCTTTATGATATCTCTTACTCTCGTAAAATGTTCTCCTCGAGAATTCGCTCTCTGGAAGGCCTTCTGAACGCCTACGCCGGCGTTATCTGCGTATTCATCCTTGAGAAGTGTGAACGCTCGCCTGTCATGTAAGGCGACCACCTATGCAGGTGTTTTACCACATGTGTTTACGAACAAAAAGCGCGCAACCCCGATGCCGTCACGTCCATGGCGGACACGCCTGGCTCCATCGCGCTCGAAATGATCCACGCCCACGTTCATCTTTAATATTGAACTAACTGTCAGGACGTCTCCACTTCAGCATGGGGGACTGAGCTCTCAGCTGATGCATGTCCATCTGAGATTCAGAGCGCTCGCGATGCTGTGCCATCCTCTGCGAGTCACTATCCGTTCCACTTGGCCAGACGTGAGTACATTTCTCCCTCTGCGATTCGTTCACCCGAACTCACGTAATGAAACCTCTCTGCCGATATGCGTCGCTCCGAGGCGTGCCTACATCGCTGCGAGTGCCTAGCGCGTGGATTTGCGTGCGCGGGGAATACCTCGAGCATCTCACTGTCCCGGCCCTTGCGGCTCGTCGTGGACGTTTTGGGATGTGGAGGATTTAGGATGCGGAGGTGAGCTAACGCGAATGAGTGGAAGGCGAATGAGGGAAAGGGTGGAGTCTCAGTGCTGTGCTGATGGAGAGTGGGTCGAGCGGACAGTGTTCAATGCGCACAGAAGTAGGCATCTAACCGTCTTTCGAGGTCACTGCAGACGCAGAAGGCTCCGCTGACATCGGAACGGCTTCCTTGTTCGCATATGATGTAACTGTCCATCTCCGAGGAATCGACAAGCGGAGACATCTCGCCTCAATGGTACCTATGTATATACGCTCGTGGTAAAGCCCTGCCGTGGGTAGGGGCGGACCTGCAGCTTGCTACGGTCTGGTATGCACATGCTAATGCGTCCTTGATGGCAGACTCGCACCTAGCGCCAGTTTATCACGCGGGGACCCTTTCCTCCATCTGTTCGCAAGGAAACTCTGGAGCTCGCTGCGGACATCGTCAATATGCAAGGGGTGATTGCGCACACGGCCTCCCCGCTCTCCAGGTTGACTTCGCTTCAAGAAGCGAAGAGGATACAGACAAAGACGAGCTAGGCGAAGGGAGGAATGATGCAACAAAAATGGCAGCAGCCTTCTTCGTGAGTCACGCACATTCTCAACCCGCAACGATCTTGCCTTCACTGCTCTATTGATTCGTCGCTCATATCTGCCCGATTGGGTACCAGAAGCATGTATCGGAAAGTGTCTGCACTGCCTAATTGATCCTGCGTCCTTGCTCATAAGTCACGTCGCAGCCTGCGCTCGATGACCGTGCCGCTCACGAGCTGAACAATTATAAGGTCCAGCCGACCTTGGGTACGCTCGCCGCGCAGGAGGGTATATTTAGAAACGTCCGATTGACGGCTCACTTTCACCTCCTCGCGCGTTCACCTGGGCAGAAGCCTAGAACAGAGTGGACAACACGCGAAGCAGAAGAACGAGCGGCGAGGTGCGTATATTCGCCCACATGAGCACCATTCAGCAAGAAAGGCGATGGGCCGCGTGTTCACGAAGGACCGCGTGCATCGTACTTCGATCTTCATTTTGTTTCTCTACCTTCTATCTCTAGCAACTCCACAACACTGAAACCAATGAAGCCATGCAGAGTACAACAAGGAGCCTTGCGCGATATATTCTCGTGTGCCGATATAGCCTCAGAGTTCCATCTGTTGCAACAACGGTGCGAACGGCGCGGGGTGCGTTTGTCCACGGGCGTAGCGATGCCCGTAAGGGAAAATCGCGTGTGGTACATACATCGCGCGCGGTCGTTATATACTACGATAGGGGCCTCCGGCCCCCGGCTACTCGCGCGCCCGAGCTTGCGAGCTCGTTTCTGAACGCGTGCTTAAACATCATCGGCAACACATCTGCGGGCAATGTGAGACCACCTCTCATTAAGATGTCCTCCAATATAGCTAGAACAAGTCGATGTTTGAGGACACCATGGTATTGTCCCCCTTGTCGAGCATGCTGGCGTCCACGGCGATATTCACACCGGCGAGTACGTTGAGACAACAGCAGTACGGACAGGCGGCAAGTCTGTAGGCAATGCATGCTCAGGTCGGGGCTGACGGCGGCCTAGGCCATGTCGTCGAGAAAATTGACTCCGTTTGCAACATGAGAATAACTCCTTGCAAATGGTACTGCATCCCGGTGTAGAGCGGCCTGCGGCCTCGCGGGTGCGAACGAGGAAATGGGAGATCATGACGCACAACAATTGGGAGATCATGGCGCACAACAAATGGGAGATCATGGCGCACGACTTTTCAAGCGCGACAATTCACGTGTGAGTAGATGGAAAATACTACAGTGCACGATATCATTCATATGCTGTATTCAAGTCCATTATATTTCGCAAGAAGGAATGAGTCTAGGACGGCCATTCGGTTGCGGACGACCACGCACACCACTGGCCAACTGTGGTCACGGCGAGATCAGTTTTTTTTGTGGCAAGTCAGAGTTTGGCAAGCACGAGACTTGCATTCAAGCTTCGCACGCATGCGCTAGGAGGGCAGTCTGATGCTGATTGAAGTCGTACGCGCGGCATCCCGTTAGGGTGGCGGAGGAAGAGAGCCGCGCAACCCTATCATAGGGCTTACTCATGAGTCTCACGCCTGATTGCGGGATCTCGCTCTTTCAGTTCCTACTTGACTATGACGGCGTCATGCCAATGGGAGCGAGTTCATTGACCTCTGCCGCCTCAAGGATGTGCACAAGCAACACTACTCAAATACGACGATGCGTCGTACAACATCACGTCGACACGGCGACTCCAGCTAGCTTGGTGATACACTCATTGTCTTCCACACCGCGTGGTCATGGTGACTCAGAAACTCGTGTCAAACATTGTTGATCCTGTCGTCTTTCGTCGGGACGCTGTGGCGTGCTTATGCACTGGCTCACGCACCATCTTACGCTCGCCTCCGCAGCCAGCGTGCCACTAAACATGAGCAAGATGGGATAATCGAGGGGTGGCAGGATACACAGAGCAGAGCGTTCTGGGAGATTCTAAGGACAAGGACATGGCTCGTGTTGGCTGTTGACTTTGCGTGAGTAGATAATGTCATTTGGAATCGCAAATTTGTCAAATCAGATAAGCTTCCTGCCCGGGCCAAACCACCCTGACGCGCGCCCCGGCACTCGTTTTGGTCCGCCCCCGTCAGTGATCCGGTCCCTAGCTGCCGGAGATCCTGTCCCGCCTGCCGCACAATCCTGTCATGAGTAGAGTACACTCCTGTCCACACATTGAAGAACGGCTCACTCTCTTTATCAAATATTACGCTTATTGGACTATTCAAACCCTCCAAATAACCCCCATATATTAAAAATACTACATGTAGTACTTCGCATCCCGTACCACACGTCCCATCTCGCTCGGGTATCCTCTCGGGCGAGCGCCAGTGGGCCAACGCACGTGAGAACCGGCGACCGTCGCCGATTAGTCAGGTCTAAGAACCATTTATAGATGTCTAAGTGGGGCGCCCGCCGTAGCTACCCTTGATATCAAATGCGTAGCCTCACCGGTGGTTTGACATTTTATCGGGTGATCATTAAGAAATAGTATAAACGTATTATTGCTTGGAGTGTATGCTAGCAGACCCTTCAGGATGCTTACATGACATAATCGCCACTTCGAGCACATTTCGAGTGCGCATGAAGCTGAAAGTTCACTGAGGTGGGCTACCTAAGGAAACATGAGATAATTTGCTGTATGCATTTTTCATAGGCTCTGTTTGTGTTCCAAAGTCAGTGGTCGGATGTTCGAAACAATCCACGGCGAGGGAGGGCTGTTTCTAATTGTGTGGACCGGTGTGCAACCTTGATTTGACAGATGCGGTAGATGAAATGACCGGATTGTGTAATCGGGTGACATTATCTATTTTCGCGTTGACTTTGGGGTACGTCAGGCAAGCATCGCTGCCGGCCCGGGTCACGTGGTAATTCGCCGGTGTGGGAATAGGACTTATGTAGGCGTTGCGCGCCGTAGGTAGCCCCATCGGTTTGTAACCTTATCCACCATTGATCCCTGTCCATCGAGGACGTTGGCTGCCGGCGGTCTTTCCGGCGTCGTTCTCACATTGGCCAGATGAGTACTCCTGTTTATTTGACAATCCTGACCTTCCGTAAATTTCTCCCACTGCAGGATCACGCTTGGGAGGCTCTCTGAACTCCTAGTCAGCGTGGCTTATGTGCTCATTCTTGAGCAGACAATCCTGTCTTGAGTTAGAATATAACGGAGAGCACTCTATGACGGGTGGAGATGATGAATGGCGCGGGGAGGTCACTAGTACAGACGTCTTATTATATGACCATGAACTACAAGCTCACAGCTGCGAGAGCGCAGAAGCACCGTGATTGAAACATAGCTTCATCTTGCTAGGTATTGTCCGCTTATACTTTCAATATTAGACTGGTTTTCGGAACATCTCTGCACTGATACCGAAGGCTGATTTCCGCGGGTATATGCCGCACTGAATTTCTGTGCGGGAACAATGCTGCGCCATCCTTTGCGTGCTACGCTATCCGATACACTTGTGCAGATGTACGCGCATCCATAGTGATGGTCTCAGTCCCTCCTCAGCGGGAGTTCTTCTTCTCTGCAACCCTCTGTCGTTTTCTTCGGTTCCATTCGCTTGATGCCACTGCAGATTCCGTCTACCGCAAGCGCGGAAGTTAGGCTTCTACTGTCGAAGGCCATCATCCGCGCGCCGCTGCCCATGCCTAGCACGCGGCCGGGCGCACACATTGGTGCGGATAAGGCCCCGAGCATGGTGCTGCTCGAGATGTTCTGGCTTGTCGCGGAGGTGTTTGGGGAGGTGCAGATAGGTTAGCGGGAAGGGAAAACGGAAGGGGGTGCGGGTTGAAGGGAGGTTGATCCGAGAAGGCCGTGTTGAATGCGCACGGAAGTGAGCATCTCTCTTTCCTTCGAAGCGAATGCGGACACTGATTGTGTTGTCGACATTGCTGCTGAACACAGCCGTCAACGCCACGGAAAGTTACTTCCTTTCGGTCTCCGAACAATGATCAAGTGGAAATGACTCGTCTGGTGATGCCATTATGTTCTATTCAACATCCTACATCAGTGGTGAACTCTTGATGTGAGCACACGCAGTTCTACAGCTTTCCACGGCCCTGTGGATGTTTGCCTGCCCATCTTCGACGGCAGAGATTGTATCCAGTTCTAGTCCACCTCATTTGCACCTCCTGACAAGACCTTTCCCTGACGCATTAAAAATCAAGTCTCGGTCGTGATGATGAATGTCGTCGACAAGACCACCACCACCGCTATCCTCGGCCTGAACACGTCCAGGGCGCCAAGGCAGTCCGGCGAGCGCAACATGAGCGTGCCCACCACTGGTAGGTTCATTCTGTGTCCATCACTGTGTGCTCGCTGGCGTGAATATCTCTGTAGGGAACCGACGCGCCGCTGTCGAGCGTATTCGACCAGACGGACAGCATCACTATGCTCAAGAAGACGACTCACTTGTTCAAGGTACGTCTCCGCAGGTGTTCGTATTGCTCGCAGATGTGTCCCAGTTAGAAGACCCAGGCGATGCGGCCGTCCGCTAACAAATCGCGCGCGACTATATGCTGTACTTGATATTGATGGCATGGTCTTGTTTACAGCGACTGGAAAGCCCGGCACCGACATTTCTTCCCGAACACTACACTTGACCAAAACACCCGTCCTTATCGAGTTGAGCCCACAGTACTCTCTGATACTATTCCTTGAAGTCGCCCACGTCAGCAACGACGTACCTGACGTGTGTCGCCGACGTGTTTAAAACATCGGTTGGACAGGCGGATGCTTTTGTTTTCGCGTGAGTGGTTGATTGTTACTATGCACTCGCATGCGAGCTGCAACGCGGAGAAAAGCGGGTGACAGACGCGAATCTAATTCATGCAGAGCGTATCCGCGTAGTATACAAACGGAGGGGTTTTCTCCGCGTGTCAATCCTCATTGATCGCCTGCTCATAAATCTAGAGAGCCAGGGAATGTCTCTTCGCATATCTATCAGAGCAGCTGGACCAGGGAGACGGGAGCGACGCATGAAATTGAAATGAACGAGTGGCATGATCCAGGGTATAGGACGGATAGTGAAGCTCATCATCCACAGTAGCATAAGGACTATGTGTGTACGCAGATTAGATTGCAAAGACTCTGGATAAATGAACTATTGGTCCAATATGTCAGTATGTAACCTTTAGGGCTGGTTGACCATCGGAAGGAAACAAGTCCATCAATAGAGAAGCGAAGCAAAACAAACACAACTGGCTGCATTGGAGTATCGCGACTTGCGTTCCTCACGTTGGAGGAGACTGCTGTCCACCTGCTGTTAATTCGTCCATTCTAATTCCATTCTCATTTTCTGGTTCCTCTTCACCACATTCTGAGTCCAAGTTGTCGCTGTTGTCATCGAGATCGGGGAAAGCATCCGCATGGCCATTCTCTGCAGCAAACTCTACACTAGAGAGCCATGTTTGTGTGGATACGCTGCCGTGCGAGTCGTCGAAGGATAAAGATTGGGAGCCGAACATGTGTGTTGAGCGTTTTGCGGCCTCGCTGATGCAGATGAGGAAGCGGGAGATCAGGATGCTCGACATCCTATATGATACAATATTTGACTCTGTCAGCAGACATTTTCAGCCACGACGCATAAGAATTTACGCACGCTGTAGTCAAACCTGTTATATCCAAGACATAGAAAGACTAGGGCGACTGTTTCAGTATGGATACTTAATACATGTCCACGAACACGCACACTACTGACAGTGATGACAATCATGATAAGGTCGACAATGTTGAGCAGTGAGATAATTCTGCTCATAAAATGAATGACATCGTCCATGAGTACACATTCCTTTTCTTACAGGAAGTACATAGTACCTGTGATCACGGATCGTGAGCTGCTGCAGTATAGTGCATTACTGCACATAAAGGCTAGTACTCACCATCTCGGAACATGACAGTCGTGAGATTGGGCCTTGCAGCCCACATATCACGTCCAAGCTGTGTTCTCACAGAGCTTGTACGGCTGATGTAGTACCATGTTGTTACAACTACGAGGATATCCGAGACGACCACAGATCCACGAGACATTACCACAGCTACATCGAGAGTAGGGGTGTCAGCAAGGACGTTTGGACATATAGGAGAAGGCAACTCACACCTGTAGGATGATTTAGTGAGTAGGAGCCGAAATAGTCAATGAAGTCTGCATACACAGGCTAAGTGGCATTGGAGGCCGACAGGCTGCTCTCACAACCAAGTTGAGGAATGATGATCAAAAATGTCTCTCGGGTCAAAAGCCACTATGACTCCTGTGTTAGTTGAGAGCACCTTTTCATACTCAACATACTGACTATGTTAGTGCCCATGGGCACCATACCAAAGAGCCAGACCGGCAATACCCAACACCAGTTGCATCCGCTCACAGCATGCACACGCAGGGCGGCCACCACTTCAGAGATAGAAATGAGGATAGCTCAGGGAATGGAAAGTGTGCCGCTTACATGAGGATATGGCAGAATTGACGAGGAATACCACCGCATAGGCATGATTGTAAGACGCACATCTTGTGGGATGAAAAATCCGTAAAGAATGGAAATCCGACATAATAGAACCGACCTCTGATTGAATGAACGCCGTCAATATAATATCAGGACCTCACAAAGTGGATGCTCCATACGTGTATAGTATTACTTGGAAGAGGCATATTTGTCATAATAGAGGCAGTGATAGCAAGCCAGTTGATAGCAGAGAGTAGTGTGGCAATAGATCTTCGCCCCCACAGGCGTCGTACGTCATGCGGCAAGTTCAGGGCGACATGATAGATCAGGAGAGCTGAAGGGATGACTATTGTCGCAGCATCGAATAAGTACTAGAGGTACTGACCAGCACATGCATAGTAGATACAATCCTCTTGAAATCTACACCATGGCATGGAAGTAAGTCCTACGAAAGTCGGTAGATGCAATGATTTTCACTTGCTCGTATTTCAGCATGTCTTCAACGGCCTGTCCTGATAGTGTCCCCAACATTGTCTGATGAGTGAAAGGGATATGATCTGAGGTAGACACGAGAAGGTCGCACAATGCGACATCCACGGGATCTCGGTCCACACATATATATATATTGAGTACAAGCTTTTGCATCCGAGCGAAGCAGTATGTTACATGTTTCGCAGCCTGTGTTCGACTGGAAGCTGTGAAATCCGTAGTGCGTTCACGTTCTCTCGATTGAGGGGATCAGGCGTGTAGGCAGTGCAATCAATGGCGCCGCCGCTGATTGACCACCCATCAGACCGACGACACAACAACGATCTCCCGGCAACTCCCTGAACCCTCAAGCGGATACAAAACTGAATTAAAAAAATAAAAATAAAAAACCCCCTGAACACAATGAGAGCATTTCTGAGGTTGGATATGCTCACTGACACATTCATTCGTTTACTCGTGTGCGTGCACTCATGACTGCTTGTCTGCTTCGCGACAATTGCGATTTATATCAAGATGCATTCGAAGGAATGTAGTCGATGCTCACCTTCAGCGCAGACATCATGCAATCAGCCGCACGCGTCATGATTTCGCTGAAGTATAGACAAACGAGTCGCGAGTCGTGACAGACCGAGTTGACATTCAGAACATAGTAGGTCATGCTGATGGGCCAGGACGTCGTTGAGACACGACTCACTGACCTAGACAGAACGCAAGTGCGGCGGCCAGACGAGTCGAGATAACAGACATAGCGAGGATCGCGCAAGACGTCGCGACGGACATCTTGCTTCTTTGCGATTGCAATTTCATAATCCGCCGAGTGCTGATTCCTGTGCTCTGCCTGCTTCCAGTAAGTGGCCTTCGATGGCGAGAAAACATACGGCTGCTGAATATGATAGCGATACATGCACCATCACGCAATATCGGGAGGTACGGATGGTGGCATACCGCAATCGAGCTGAGACGAAACAATGAGCTGGTAGCTCACTGAGTCCCATCACACCCACCTGAGGGTATCAATCAATTGTTGTCGGCTACCATCTGTTCCGTATCGCGGCAGTGTGCTAAAATGGTGCGGAGTGCAAACAGATGCTTGCGTAGTTGGTTTGTCGTCTTCGAGAAACAGTCATAACCTGCAAAGGATTCGAATCTGATGCATCGTCTGGCAAGGAAACGGATGGTCTCAATTTGGACAGGCAGCGTACTTCCCATAATGCTGATTCCACATATCTGAGGTGAGTCAATACAAGGAGCGTGCAGTGAAATGACCGGGATCGAAGCTCCTTTTGACATAGCGAGATAGTTCTCTCTGTGTATTCGACCTTCGTACGGTGTCTTGAGGCTCATCTCAGTAGCCCAAACTATACGCACACTGCAGAGATATCCTGAAAATGTGTGGAAAATGAGTAACAGATGCGGAGAGAAGTCGGTCATAAATCCGCTGCTGCTGAACACAACGCCTCCAAACCTCGTGCTCTCAAGGATTTAGCACATGAGCGAGCGATCAGCTATTCCGACTGTTGAAGAGCAGATAGTCTACTCATCAAAATGATTCGTTCTCCTTGACGACGGCCATACTCCGTAGACATATCCTCGTCGGGACATTCTGTCAGCACCGCATGTTCCTGAGGACTGATGAAGAATCAAAGACCGATAGACACCAGACAAAAAAGGGCGTGGGCCTGTATAGAGAGAGATGATATTGTGATTCCGGGTGCGCACGAAACTGCAAGCCTCGCCCTACCATAGGCAGTCTCAGATGCTACTGACTGAGGAAACGTCAGTTGCACAGGGAATGATCCAGACTGTGCGCCACCCACATGAGACCTGCCACAAGTAGCGTCTTTCATTTTGTATTGAATATGTCGAAAACATATGCTTGCCCACTGCGTAACCCTAGCGTAGGGCTGTCCACCGTGATTCTCACGCTCAGCTGCAGGGCGGGCGTCTTTCCTCCGACCATGTCCTTGGGTTCGTTGTTGCGTCGTCGCGTCGTGGAGGTGGGTCGCGAGTCCACAGGCGGCGACAGCGAGCTCTGCACGACAGCGAGCTCTGCACGACAGCGAGCTCTGCACGACAGCTCATGGCACACCAGTCCGTTGCGCCTCAGTAGCGCTCCTGGCTTCCCTAGATCTGTTACTGCAGTTCGTGTGCTCCGAACGACTGCAATTGCCGTCTCCTCCTGTCTTGCCAAATGGCTGAACGCTACGGGCCATCCAGAATCTGTCGTGCTGCGTCTCTCAGTACCACTCGCACTTGCCTTCAGCTTGCACACAGTACAGAAAAATGGGATGACGCGCTAATAGAGACGCAGGGCTAGACATGCTTAGAGGCCGCCAAGGACAATGAGACGCTGCGCACGATCCAAGAGTGAGTACTGTTGCTTTTTTCAAGCTCCCCATTCCTGTTTCCAAGCTCGATTCTATACGTTTCTTCTCGAATGACCACGGGCCGCCGCAAGCCTCCTTTATCACACCCGACCGTATCTCTTCTCGGGTTACCGCACACGGGCATCTACTCGCTCGCGAAGCGCGGGAATAATTCATATCATGAAGTTGTCACTCACGCGGGCGGCCGACTACTCACCAGCACCAGTCGCCCACGACTGCAGAAGCCTCATCGCGTTCACGATCACCGTATGCGGCTTGAATGCTCTGATCATTGCTCTTGTATGCGTTTGTTCCTCACCCGCTGCTGGGATATATCTCGTCTCCATGGGGCGTCCCCATATGACCGCTCGATCTGGTAATTGGGTCACTTCCCGAGACCATATGGGTTGATGATAGCGTGCATGGCCCGTCGGTGCGTCATGGGTACCGGGTGTTCATACACCGTTCGATCCCGCCTACTCACTGACGGTTGCTCAAGACCCGCGCACATAGCTCAATTGCAATCACTATTCCCATCTCGAGCTGATAAGCAGGAACTCAACTACTTCAGGCACGCTGGTTGATGGAAGTGTGCGCCCAGTGACTTGTTCCATGCGTGTGTTCGTGATCCGCGACTCATTCCTCGGTTTCATACAGTGTATGCGGCGTTGCCATCTTGCTATGTTCACTGTTATACTCATCACATCTACTTTCTCTCTCCGTCTAGAAACCCGTGAGCGCCAATATTGGTGTTATTGCACTCCCTGCGATGAACGGAAACTGGGTTAATCAACCCGATTCTGTCGCACTTCCCATGGTCATACCGCTCTGTCCACAGAACGTCCACACGTTCTCCCCGGAACGACTCCCTGCCCGACGCGCCCATCAAACTGCTGTCCTCCCCGCGTGTTTGGTTGTCGACCTCATGTACCTCGGTGACGTCGTCCGACTAGACATTTGGCAGGAGGCTGCGCGGCGGACGGGACCATAGACTGTCAAGTTCGTCATATAGCCAGATGTGGACATGCTCGTGTGCTACCACAAGGGGCCCAAGGTATCTAGCGCGTCAAGGTCTTCCCGGAGTCAATATGAATGCGTGCTTGTCCTTAGTGGTATGTCTACTTATTATGTCGCTGTAAATGAAGATGTCTCCGAGTGGTTTGATCTATGTGATGCTTAGACACGTACACAAGCGTCCTTATGGGGTACCGGTCGCGGTGGTCTATCACTTCATTTTGGTGCGAACCCGAGGCGCATAAAAGAACAACAAAACAGCACACGAAAAGCCCAGGGAGAGTGTTTCGTGCGTGAGAAGCATGGTCTATGTGTCGAGCGATGGGACATGTATAGCCTTCGCGATGAGCATATTCTGGACACAGATGCGCGAGGATATGCGCGGTCGTCAACGTACGAGCCGATGCATCCGTCCGTTTCTCACTATTCGAGTTTCCTCATGATGTCCCTCAATCTTCTTGTTCTATATGTTCGGAGATGCGATTGTCTATTAATTCAGTCCACAGCCCGAACTCCAGATCTCAAGGCCTCCCTCGATCAACGCGCTGATTGCGGGTGCCCAGTACTCGCACTCTTCAAGTGGCTGCATTGTTCCCAAATGGTACGCGTCCCATAACGTGGCCCTAGTTTTATAACAAGTCGATTTTATCCTACCTGTTTTGGTATGGCCAGATAGCCTCGTTGACAATATATCTTGTAAATTTGTATGAACCCGCGCACTCACGATTCAGCACTAAACAGAGAACAGGCGCACATCGACATGCCCGTCGGTGCTACCGAGGCTCCTTATTCGTTGAAGTGTTGACAGCCGGTCAGAACGCGAGTCCTAGGCTCATGTCCAAAGCACGGCTTCGCAGTGTCAGCGTTGGGGCTGAGGAAGAGTTTGCCGCAGGCTCAGGTCTGGCAAAGGGTCAACGGCAGGAAGGACAGCTGCAACTTCTTGCTCGTTCATATGAACAACATGCATGGCACACCGAACAGATGAACGAGCAGCGTGCCAACGCAGACGATCGGTCCCCATAGTGTATTGCGATAAGAGCGACTCGGAGGCACGCATAAATTAGGCCTCGAGCGACATTGCTGGCCCTGAACGACTCCGGTAGTTCTGAGCATAGCGTACATGACGTGAGCAATGTGGATTCGAAGAACTCAGTTTGATATTTGCGCAGAAGAATGACGAGGCTCGCTGAGCGATACAATTGTCTTGAGGGCATACCCGTGATGGCTGCTATAGCGAGCTACTTAGGACACATCTCAACTAAAACAGCGGGGCATGGCCCATTAAAACAAACTGTGAATAAATGGAACACCTGGCGATACTGCAGGTACGCGTACAGGTGGACGTACTGGTTAGAATAAGTGATCAACAAGGCTCGGAGTGAGAAGGAAAGGAAGGTAAATAGCGATATGGAGGAAGATCAGGATGTGCGTGCGTCTACGGAAAGGACAGAGGTTGCGTATTCTCCCAACTCTATTCCATCATTGCTCGCGACTCCTGCATCACCTTCGCCTCTTCGATGTAGGTCGTCTTCGAGATCTGAGCAGGCATCTACGTCACCATCCCCCGCAGAGGGGTTGGCGATGTCAGCGGCAAACTCTATGCTGGAGAGCCACCGATGTGGGCCAGCGTTGCCTTGTGAGCCGACGAAGGATAGAGATTGAGAGCTGAATGGCTGTATTGAGCGTTCTGCAGCCTCGCGAATGCAGATGAGAAAGCGGGAGACTAAAATGCTCGACATCCTACAGGATGCAAGATTTGACTCTGTCAGCAGGTACCTCCAACTACGACGCATGATGACCACGCACGCTGTAATCAGACTTGATATAGCCAGCATTTTGGAATCAGACTAGAGCGACTGTCTAAGTACGGACAATCAGTTTTTGTGTACGGGTACGCACACTACTGCTACTGATGGTTTCCATAGTCAGATCAACAATGTTGAGCAGCGAGATGATGCTATACATAACATAAGTGCCATCATTCATAGATATACATTTCCTATCTTACAGAAAATACGAAGTACCTGTAATGACGGACCATGAGCTGCTACGGTATACTAAATAATCACACATCAAGGCTAGTACTCACCATCTCGGAACATGACAGTAGTGAGACTGGGCCTTACAACCCACATATCTCGTACCAGCTGTGTTCTCACGGAGCTTGTACGGCTAATGTAGTACCATGTTGCTGCAACTACGAGGGTGTCCGAGACAACCACAGATCCACGAGTAACGATTGTCACTACATCGCGAGTAGGGGCGTCAACAAGTACATCTAGACATATGGAAAGCAACAACTCACTCCTGTAGACATCAACAACTGTGTAAAACACAAAACAGCCAGTGAAATCCACATACACAATAAACATGGTGTCGGAGATCGACACACTGTCCATACATAGAAGTTGAGGAATGAAAAGCCATGTCTCTTGCGTCAGGATCCACTATGATACTTCCTCGTGAGCCGCAAACACCTTGCCATACTCATCGTACTGACTATGTTAGTGCCTACGGGCACCATACCAAGCAGCCAGACTGGCAATACCCAGTGCCAGTTGCCTCTGCTCATGGCATGTACACGCAGGGCGGCTACCACTTCAAAAATAGAATGAGGATGGCTCGGAGAACGAGAGTTGCATTTCTTACATGTAGATATGGCAGCAGTGACATAATATACTACTTGATAGGCATAGTGAGAAGAAGCACATCTTGTGGATTAAATGATCTGTAACAAATGGTGACCTGATATGAGGGAACTGACCTCTAGAATGCACACTGTCAATACAAGATCAGCACATCAAGGAGTGAATGTCCCATACTTGTGCAGTACCGCATAGAAACGGCATGGAGGTAAAGATAGTGCCAATGATAGCAAGCCAGTTGATGGCAGAGAGTAGTGTTGCAATGGATCTTCGCCCCCACAGACGCCGCAGATCATGTGGCAAGTTCAGGGCTACGTAGTAGGTCAGGAGAGCTGAAAGAACACATATAACTGGAGCATCGGACATATAGTAAAGGCACTGACCAACACATGCATAATCGATACATGTCTGTTGAAAGCTACACCATGGCGTGGATGTAAGTCCTACAGTCTATGGTAGATGTGATGGTTTCCACTTGCCTGCCTTCCAGTAAGTCTTCAATGGTCTGTTTCGATGATATCCCCGACAAGTTCTGCTGCATGGTTGCAGGGGAGATGAAAGAATGTGCAAAATATGAGAAATTAGCAGCGAATTGGTATGGACCTTGAGTCAATATATATACGTACGTGGAGAGGGGTGGAAGCTATGTCGCTCAGCGTGGGATTAGCTGATGCAAAGCACGGCTTGCAGTGCGTTTGAGAGCTCCTAATTGGGAGAATCATCCATATGACATTACAATCAATCAGTGTCCGTAATAGCACACTGGCCACGCCACACAGTCACTCATCACAACCACCAGCAACTTAAGGTTGTGATAATTCAAAAGGTCCGCTCATTCAACGGGGTTTTAATGAAATCAGCGGAGACAGCAAATTGCTCCCTGCAGACACATCCGATTATCGAGCCAAATACTACAATTATACGTCATTCACTGCATTCCGGCTCTTGGGAAATAGGGAGTCATCGCAAGATATAACGATGGAAGAATGCAGAGTGTGCTATTGACGCTGTAGGCGAGAGCTTGCAGGACTCCATTGCGAGACACAAGTTAATATTCATGATCTAGAAGAGGTCTGTGCTATTTCCCGAGTGACGTGCTGCAGCACGACGAGTAAGGATAGTAGACATACCTCCTGAGACCCAGGTACGGGTATCTCGCTGCATTGTGATCACAAATTCGTCGTCTTGTCCACATCTGCAAACGTAAGTTTACTGTTATGTGATAGCGGCATCGTGCAATGTCCGAAGATACACATGCCTGAATACGAAATTCGACCTGAGACACATGAACACGCCAGTGCCTCGTCGTATGCTACCGCATCCAGTGTGTTGATGATTATTTCACAGGAACCAGCCGTTCCGAGTGTGCAGACTGTAGTGTTTGCAGCTCCACTCCCAATACGACTTTAGACGTCGTTTACAAAGCAGACAGCCTTGGATTGCTCACCTGTACATGATTCATGGAAGTACATTCAAAAGGTAAATCCGAGGAGTCAGGTTCGCAGCGCTGGGTTATGATCTATGGTGTACACCGTGATGCGGCGAACACTTTCGTTCCGTTCTGTGTATGACACATAATTTGTTTTCATCCGGGAAGGGAGAAGTACAATGTCGACGTGGCCTGATCTACATTCTCGATAGTGGGATGAATCGCATGTGCGCCGCCTCTTCGGCCTCCACGCCTTTAATTTCCGGGTCGTGCTCACGTATGACACCGATAGCGATGGAGGTACCGTATCTGCTGCTCCTGATCGCCTCTTGCCCAACCATTCGATTCATGAGCGATGGTGTCTGTCTCTGAAGTACCACACCTTGACAAGGACACCTTATGCTTATCAGAAGCATACATTTAATTTGACGCGGGACATATGGCTGTACTCTGCCACCATCACGGAGTCCTTGTCAAGGCGCATGGCTTCAGAAGGTGGTTGCGATCCGCGAGAGACTTCAGACCACAACTGAGTGCGTACAGCGTGTCTTGGCACGGAGCTTCATACGCCTTATTATCTCATTGCACACTGTTCGGCTGCAAGACTTGAACAGAAGGCGAAGCCTACAACGTGACGGTGTGTCTGAACGAACGTGTAGGGACGGGCGTCATGAACGCCCGTCTAACCCTAGGCTAGGGTGGTCTGTTTCCCACGCTGGACGCGGAGGGCATGACTGAGAGTCGTTCTGCTTACTTGCAGTACCTGATTGCACGCTGACTCTGCGATGTACATCGCCATCCCTCCGACTCTAACTACTGACGACCTTGCGAACGGCCCCACAGCCCCGGATGAGCGCCTACGAAACCCTAGAATAGGGCGATGCACAGCGGCCTTCACGTCTCATGCATGATGTCGATATCGAACACTTGCATTCTTGAATGAACCCGCCCTGCGGCTTGCGTCATTGAATGTGGACTACTCTGGCTCGACGAACTGCAACCTCTATCGCCAAGTCAACTCCTTTGCCCTACGCATTCGTCTGCTCTATTTACCACTCGCGCATCATTGAGCAAATGTCTTCAATCATGCCGTCTCTCGGGTATATGTACTCCTAGTGAATATGGGCTGCAAGAGCATAGACGGCGGCCGCAAGCTCTGCATGGCAGCCTTTGAAACACAAATCCGTTGCTCCTTCACGCTTCAATGCGCACTTGACTTCTTTGACTATTTCACCGCGGTTCATGCACTCTCAGCCGGACGCGATTGCTCTTCTCCCGCGTCGTTCCAAGTCACCGAACACTGCAAGTGGTCAGTGATGCTCAAGGGTGGTTATACTACGTCTCTCGGTGCACCCTAGCACTGGCCTGCTATTTCTTCCTAGAGCGAGATAGGATGACGCACTCGTGAATGGTTCGCGCTATCAAAGGGTGAGCACTATGATCTTTGTCATACCCCTTATCCCTCTGTAGAATCTCTTTCTTTTCGTATTATTTCTTTCTTGAATGATCGCCGCAAGTCTACTTGTACCCAACCGAAGGTATCCCCACTTGGAGACTTCACGCTAGCATCCACTTCTTCGTGAGGAGCGGGTTTGATTAATATTATGATCGCCGCTCGCTCGGATGGTTGACTATACATCGGCATCGACAAGCTGCACACGGATGTTAGGGCAGAATCCCCAGTCCATAACCGCGCGCGGCGTTCAAGCGTCGATCATTGCTTGTGTATGCGTCGTGGCCAGATCTGATATTGCGGATATTTCCCATCTCCCTGAAGTGTCCCCGGTGTGGTAATTCGTTCTCCTTGTGAGGCCGTGAGGCGAGATGAGAGCGGACATCACTGACAAATGCTGTGTTTATAATACAGGACACGTCGCTCTGGAAGTCTTTTTCAGAGCAATCTGACGTACGGGGTGCATCGATCCACATGCGAGCGTTAGAAATCCCTTGTCTTACTCTTCGGAGTTCGCTCGACTCTCCACGCGCTGACCACATAACGCGGAACGGGTATCGTAGTCATAAGCTGCGAAATGTGTCGAACGGGTGCGCAGACATCACGCACAGTTGCAAAAGTCATGATTTTGATGCTGCAGGTCGAAGCCCAGACCACCGAGTTGCGAGTCGTGACAGACCGAGTTGACACTGAGAACATAGTAGGCCATGCTGATGGGTCAGGACGTCGTTGTAACACGGCAGACTGATCGAAGCCCAACGACGTGCAGCGGTGAGACGAGTTGAGGTAACAGACATAGTCAGGAACGAGTAAGACGTATCAACGGACGTCTTGTTTCTTTGCGATTGCGATTTCATAGTTACACGAGTGCTAAGCCCTGTGCTCTGTGCTTTCCTCTAGTAAGTAGCCCTTGACTGTGATCACGTTTGCGCTGACGACGAAGTCCAGAATACACGAACTGTGTGCCCAAAGATATCAGTCGACGTCTCTGGAAACCATGAGGCTGTTGGATGTATATCAAATCTGCGCCATCACGCAAGATATAAAAGTTACGAACAGTCGCGTACTGAGATAAGAAGAAAGAGGAGCCGGTAGATCACTGAGTCCCAGCACAGCCTGAGGATACTAATCATTTGTTGATGACTACCATCTGTTTCAAATAGTTGCAGTGTTCAATCACGTAATGGTGCCAAGTGTGAAAATGTGTTTGCGTGATTGGCTTATTGCCCTCAGGGAACGGTCATTACCTGCAACGGATTCGAATCTGGTGCACTGTCTGGCGAGGAGACGAATGGGTCCGAATTTGGACAGGAAGCGTACACAGTGTGGGGCCAGGCGGCTCCTCCCGTACTGATGACTCCAAATATCTGAGCTGATTCAGTATATGAAGCGTGCAGTAGAATGAACAGGCTCGTAACACCTCTAGTCACAGCAGGATAGATCGCCTTGTGCGTTCGCATATCAACCTTCGTGTCGCGTTCTTTGAGCTCTCCTCGGTATCCCAGACCGTATGCACGCGAAAGCAATATCCAGGCAACGTTTGTGCATAAACAATCATTAACATATGCAGGGAGTAGTTGGTGTTGACGGCTGACCAGCAAGCGCGTCCGTGTGTCCCGCATGGATGCGCGCGCATGATGTCGTGCTATCGCGTCGGGATCGGCGCGTGCCCCTGGCGCCCCTGACCCGTCCTGTCTTCGCGGAAATATTATATTAGCCTGCTTCCATAGACACGATACCTTACCGTGCTCCCGCAGATATATACACGTCGCTATCCGAGACGAGCTTCAGTTGTTGTGATACACACCTGAAGCTCTGACCGAGCGCGCATCATACTCTCGCTTTACCTCGTGAAGAGTCGGCCATAATTCTGCTGCTTCTATGATGAAGCCTGCCACAAATCGCGTCGTCTGTTACGCATCGAATATGTAGGACACGACTATGATCGCTCACTGCGTAACCCTAGCGTAGGGCCATCCATAAGGATTCCCACGCTCAGTAGCACTCCTGCTCGTCGTTGCGTCGTGGAGGCGGGCCACCTGCACAACAAACAATTTGTCGCGCTCCCGTCCTCTAGATCCGTAAGTGCAGTCCGTGTACCCCAAGCGACCGTAATTGCTCTTTTCCTGTCATGTCGAATCGCCGAACGCTACGGGCTATCCACCATGATCAGGACCGGTCACGCTGCATCTCTCAAAATTGGTCTTCAGCCTGGTAATACAGCAAGGTGAGATGACACGAGGCTAACGGAGACGTAGGGTTGGAGACAAGGGGATCATTCGCGACCTTCAACGGTGAGTACTATTGTCTTGTTCATGTTCCCCATTCCTGTGTGCACGCTCGATCCTATACGTTTCTTTTTGAATGACCACGGGGCGCCGCATCCCCACTTGGGTCACCTCACACTGGCATCCACTTGTTTGCGAAGCGCGGGTATGATCAACATCATGGAGTGGTCACTCACGCGGACGGCCGACTACGCACTAGCATCAGTCGTCCACGACTGCAGAAGCATGCGTTGATCGCGTTCACGTTGACTGCGTACCGATTTGTCTCGTTGATCATTGCTTTTGTATGCGTTGTATCCTCATCTCCTGCTGGGATATCTCCCATCTCCTATGACAGCCCGGCCCGGTAGTTGGCTCACTTTCCGAGACCGTATTGGTAGATGGGAGCGTGCATCGCTCGTCGGTGCGTTGTGGGTAGCGGGTGTTCATACATGTTCGATCCTGCCTACTCGCTGAAGGTTGTTCAACATCGGTGGACGTAGCTTGATTCCAATTACTATTCCCATCTCGAGCTGATAGGCAGGAACGCAACTGCTTGAGGCACATCGGCTGATGGGAGTGTGCGCCCAGTAACTTGTTCCACGCGTGTGTTCGTGATGCGCGACTAGTTCCTCGGGTTCATACAGTATATGCGGCGTTGTTATCTTGCTATGTTTACTGCTATACTCATCGCATCTACTCTCTCCCTCTCTCCCTCCGTCCCGAGAACTGTTGGCTTGAATACTGGTACTACTGCACTCATTACGAAGAGCGTGGACTGATATAATCATCCTGACTCCTGCGCATTTCCCATGGACATACCGATCTACCCAGAGAACGTCCATACGTTTTCCGTCGAGCGACCTCCTGCCTGACGTGCACATCAAACTGCTGTCTTCCCCGCGTTTCTGATTGTCGACCTCATGTACCTCGGTGACGTCGTCCGACTGGACACTTTGACAGGAGGCTGCGCGGCGGACGGGGCCATAGACTGTCAAGTTCGTCATGTACCCAGATGTGGACATGCTCGTGTGCCACCACAAGGCCCAGGGTATCTAGCGCGTCAAGGTCTTCCCGAAAACAATACGAATGCTTGCTTGTCCCTAATGGAATGCGCATCGCTATTGGATCCTGTGTTATGTCTACTTATTCTGTCGCTGTTAGTGAACACGTCTTCGAGCGGTTTGATCTGTGTGATGCTTGGACACGTACACAAGCGTTCTGATGGGTACCGGTCGCGGTGGTCCATCACTTCATTTTGGTGCGAACCCGAGGCGCATTAAAGAACAATGTGACAGCACACAAAATGCCCAGGAACAGCGTTTGGTGCGTGGGACATACACAGTCCGTGCGATGAGCATATTCTGGACGCAATCGTGCAAGAATATGCGTGCTCTTACATGTACGAGCCGACACATCCGCCTTTTTATCATTATTTCAATTTCCTCATCATGTCCTTCAGTCTTCTTCCTCTTCTATATGTTCGGAGAGGCAATTATACATGCATCCACTCCACAGCCCAGACTCCGGATCTCAAACCCCGCCTCGATCAACGCTTTGATGGCCCCTCTCGCGGGTACCCAGTGCTCGCACTCTTCAACTCGATGCCGCTCTCTAATCTCATCCACTGTTCCCAAATGGCACGCGTCCCATAACGTGGCCCCAGTTTTATAACATCTCGATTTAATCCTACCCATTTTGGTACGACCAGACAGCCTCGGTCACAATGTATCTTGTGAATTTATCTGAAGGCGCACGCTCACGATTAAGCACTAAACGGAGAATAGGCGCATATCGACGTGCCCGACGGTGTCGCCTAGACTCTTTATCCGTTGAAACGCTGACGGCCGGTCAGAACGTCGATCCCAGGCCCCTGTCTCTCAGTGTCAGCGTTGGCGTTGAGGAAGGGTTTTCCGCAGGCTCAGGTCTGGCAGAGGGCCAAAGGCAAGAGAGGGCAACTGCGACTTGCCCGTCCACATGAGCAGCATGTACGGCACACCGAATAGATGAAAGACCAGCGTACCAACGCGGAGGATTGGCCCCCGTAGTATGTTGCGACACAAGCGACTCGGAGACACGCATACTTCATACTTCGAGCGAAATTCTTGGCCTTGAATAACTACGGTAGCTCTGAACATAATGTATATTTCCCGAGCAATGCGGATTCAAAGGGGTCAGGTTAACATCTGCGCAGAAGAATGGATAGGCTTGCTAAGCGGTACAATGGGCTTGAGGATACACCACTCAACGCCTGTGAGCGCATGTCCGCGATGGCTGATATAGCGACTACTCAGTACACCTCTCAAACAGGAACGGCGGGGCATGGCCCATGAGAGCAGACTGTGAATAATTAAAACGGCTCGCAATATTGCGGGTGCCTGGTCATCAAGACAGGTGGACGTACTGAGGGGAAATGAGCGATCACAGAGTGTCGGAGAAGGAAAGGAAGTTAAATGAAAAGATGAAAATGGATAAGAATATGCGTGTATCGACGGGACGTACAGAGGCTAATTTATCCTCTGGCTCTATTCCATCATTGCCCGCGTCTCCTGCATCATCTTCGCTTCTTGAATCCAAGTCGTCTTCGAGATTGGAGAAAGCATCTACGTCACCATATCCAGCACAGGGGTTAGCAATGTCGGCGGCGAACTATATGGTGGAGAGCCACGGCCGTGGGACGGAGTTGCCTTGCGAGTCCATGAAAGACGGGGATCGGGAGCTGAATGCCTGTGTTGAGCGCTCTGCGGCTTCATGGAGGCAGATGAGGAAGCGGGAAATCATGATGCCCATCATCCTATAAGATGCAGGATTTCATGTGTCAGCAGATATCTCACGCTATGAGGCATGAGGATTCACGAACGCTGTAGTCAAAGATGTTATATCTACCGTGACGAAAAACTAGGGCAACCATCTCAATATGGGTAATCAGCAAATTGTGGCCGAGTACGCACGCTGTTGTATGCGGCGAGATCTGCAATGTTCGGCAGCGAAATAGCACTGTGCCTGCAATGAGTTTTATGAAACAAGGATCCGTTCTTGCCCACATACAGGAAGTACAATGTATCTGACATCGCAGGAGATGAGCTGCTATGGTACATTTTGCCACGCATTGGACTGATACTCACCCACTCGGAACATGACGGTTGTGAGACTGGGTTTTGCAGTCCACATATCGTGTACCAGTTGTGTTCTGACCGAGCTTGTACGGCTGATGCAGTACCATGTTGCTACGACTACGAGGATGTCCGACACAACCATAGATACAGTGGAAGCGACAAACACTACATCGAGAGCAGTGGCTTCAGCGTGAGAATTTATACGTATTGTATGCGATGACTCACTCCTGTAGGTGTCAATGAGTGTGTTGAAGTCGAAAAAGTCAGCAAATTCTGCATACACTCCAGTATTGAAGGTCACTGGATTCATGCCCGCGGATTCAAGTTTCACAATAATAAGCCATGCCTGTTGGGTCAGGAGCCATAATAGTAATTTTTCTTTAGTCACAAGCATCTTGCTATACTCCATATACTGACTACGTTGTAGCCCAGGGGCGCCATACCGAGGAGCCAAACTGGCAATACCCAGTACCAGGTGCCTCCGCTCAAGGCATGTACACGCAGGGCAGCTACTACTTGAAGGACAGAATGAGGATGGCTCGGGGAAGGAGAAATGCGCTGCTTACATGGAGATATGGCACTGCTTACGATACCCATCACCGTAGAGGCACAAAACCAAGATAGAGATCTGGGGGGACACATATTGCGTAAACAATAGCAACATGAAAAGGGGGTACTGACACCTAAAATGCACGCCGTCAATACAAGATCAGCACCTTGTGAATGGAATGTTCCATACTGGATCATCTAGAGAGGGCATCACTGTAATGATAGCACCAGTGATGGCAAGCCAGTTCATGGCAGCCAGTAGTATTGTAAGTAATTTTCGCCCATACAGACGTTGCACATCATATGGCATATTCAGGGCGCTATAATAAACCAGGAGCGCTGAAAGGTGATTAACGCTGGAGTTTCGGATAGGTAACGGAGGCACTGACCAGCAGATGCATATTGAATACAGTTGTAATAAAAGCTACGCCATGATACAGAGGTGAGTCCTACAGAAAATGGTAAATGTGATGATTTTCACCTATTCACCCCAGGCAAATTCATTGTCCTGTTCCAATGCCGATACTGACATTTTCTGCTATATAGTCACAGGAGAGGGTTGAAGAAAGTTCCAGCTACGGGGAGATGGGAACGAATAGGTACAGGGTTTGAGTACATATATATGTATAGTATGCACTTCTGCTGCTGAAAGGGATGTCGGAAGCTATGTCACTTAGCCTCTGGTTAGCCGATGCATGGCCTGTGGTGCATTTAGGGGCTCTCGACCAGGATATGACACTAGAATCAATCAGTGTCTGTGGTATGGCTGTGCCGCTGTCCTGCCATTACGTCCTTACCATGACGCATGGCTTCAGAAGGAAGTTGTGATCCCCAAGAGACCCCGAGCAGAACGCGTACAGTCCGTCTTTACACGGACCTGCTTAAGCCTTTACGCTGAGAGTCTTAGGATCACATCAAAACAGTCTGAACTCGGAAGCTGCGAGGCTCGAATTGAATGTGAAGCCCACGGCGTGATGATGAACGATTGTGTAGGGGAAGGATGAACGCCCGTGTAACTGAGGGATGTTGTTTTCTGATAAGCCCCGGGCGGAATGAACGTTTCTCACTACGGGTGAGATAGACACAGAACATCTCAGAAATCAGTCATGCTCCAAGAGACATGTTCGTTGGTTTACTTATCTGCTCAAATTGGTCCCTGTCAGTGATGCATGCATCTCGACGCCGGACGTTAATGATTTATCACAATGTCCGCAATCTATATACCTGGAGGCCAATCTGTACTGTCGTCTCCTGGAAAAATGGAATTGTTGATTGTGATACCAGCCTGTGAGCCAAGAGCAATCAACGTGTGAAAAGCGCAGCGCTACGATTGAGCTGAGACAAAGCGACAGTCAGCCACTCACTCAGCGTATCGCCATCCAAACGATTTGATCTTTTTTGATGACGCCCATCCATATCAAAGTCCTGGTGAGACGTATCGCGGGATACGTGTTCAGTATTCAGTCGACGGGATGGAGAATACATCCTTTACAGTTCAACCGTTGATCATTTTCGAGTCAGTCATCACCTACAACAGATTCGAATTTGATGGACTGTCTGGCGATAGAATGGGTGACGCGGGGATCAGACAACATAGATGGTGACGTGGCAATGAACAATCTGTCATCCTGCCCATGCCAGACGCCCGAGCGTATTCAATATGAGAAGCGTGAAGTGTAGTGAGTCAAGACTCTGCTTCCCTCTAGGCGCCAGAGGCGTCAACCAGTGTATTCAATATGCTTCCCATCTTTGAATAGACATTTGACTCACTGTTCTTCTCCAAAGATGGCCGTTTTCCGCAGCCGCATGCTTATCGAGGCGCGCTACCTGTCAGCGGCGGTGTTTATGAGCCTTGGTACAGCTTTACATCACGACCCGTGTGATTGCGTACTGCATGTCTTCGATGGACCTGTTTAGCGAGATATGAACTTGCAATTCCGGATGCCTTGCTCTTTGTCTTCAGACCAGGATCGCCGTTGTTCTTCTGTATGAGGCCTTAGACCTGAGATTCGTGACTTAGAACAATATAGAAGACAAACTTGAACCGCGTCCACCAAAGGCATACTCAGTTTACGAGCTTGGAACGCATGGAACTACAGACCGCGGTTCCAGGTGAGCGGATGATGGACTCGCTAAATAAACGTGTTACAGGAAAAGATTCACGCTATGCGTTACTTACATAGAATAGAGCGTGTGCTCATCGATCGTTCGTGCCATTGACAGTGTGAATTGTGTGAATTATCCTGAGTGTAGGGCTACTCAGCAAATTCTCGGCTGCAGTAGCGATTGCACATCCTTGGCCCGTCTATTTGTGATTTCACCATACAGTTTCAAGAACATGCTTTAGGTCTCAATGCTTTACGTTCACTCAACTTTGCGGATGTGGAGGACGTTCAGCTGATGGTAGCATGCGAAGAGTTGAGTTTAGGCTTCAGCGCCTGCATAACCCTAGAATAAGTCTACGCCCAACGGCGAGGTTCATGCCTATCATGTAACCCTAGAGTAGGGCTGTGCTTGAACGAAGCTACTGCAGCCGGCTTGTAGTCGACAGTCTAACATGGCTCTATGCACAGCGACCTCTGTCAAATCAACTCGTACCTTTTACTACAACTCTGTCTGCTCCACGCAGACGACCTAGGCCTCGATATGTGCGCCGCCTCCATTGAAAGTTGACTGTATACATAGTCGCCCACACCAGTTTCGTCGCCGCTTCTCAGTTCGTTCAGTTCGTCAAACATCATCGGCATATCGATGTCCCATCCTGCTCATTCTCATCGTCGTGAGTTCACTCTCATTCCCTGTGCAGCCTTAAGATATCGCGGCCCTCCTCGCAGCGTATCCCCTCTGAGGGCAAGCCATGCCAAGAAACCATGGAACCGACTTGTCGTCGGCTTTGAGCGTCAAGTCGTGCGCTTTAGGTCGAAGGCTGCCCGGCGCAGATCTCGTAGGATGACCAGACGGTGACAAATGTTAATACTTCTATAGAATGACGTGCTGACAACCTGGCTGATGAGCTGGAAGTGACGGACGACAATGATTCTGGGACAGGGGCCTCATTTTACTAGATGTCCTGGACAACAATCCCCCATCTGTGGAGGCGTGCCCATACCGCCTACCCGCCATCCTGCTATGGGGTCGCACATGAGCTCTGTGTCACGAGTTGGTACGGCGTCTAGCCGTTTTTTAATTTTTTCCTTTTCGCGGGCTCGAACCTGCGACCTCTGTACTACTTGCCTGATACAGATGCATCATATCTACTGTACGATTAGATTAGATAGGACAGCAGTGCGCGGCACAGCTCGGGCTCCGCTGACACAGCCTCCCTGACTCACCGGCCCCCGGGGCTGCGTCGGCATGCTGTGCACGGACCAGCTGCACACGGACCAGTGCGCACAGCCTGCCCTTATCTACCCCTGTATATAAGCCAGCCTCTGCTGCCCTAGGCACCTCAGTTTCGACCTCTTGTCCCTAGGTCAGTAAGCTCATGTATTACTTACCTACTTACCAATGCTAACTTATCTTGTCCCTAGCCTTAGGTTTGAGCCTCGCTCACCATCGCTTCGGTGAGATCCAGTCAAACGCCCCTCGCTTTCAGATATTCCCCTGTCGCTTGACCTCAAGTCACAACATTAGGTCGAAACTCCCCCAAGCGACTGGCGTTCTCTCGGAACCCACATAACTCACACTTTCCTTTCCCATAGGTCGGGTGGTGCGCACCCATACGATACATTACGATATGTAGGTAGCATACTATACATTGCCACCACTTAGGGAACAAACTCTTCAGTACCTGCACTTCAGTGGGCGGTACTTGTCCTCACGGACGCGTGGATTAGGTTCCTGCTGCATAATAGTCAAAAGCAGTACTGGGCCCCACGTGAACTGCGAACCCTAGTGTCATCTCGGGCGCCGTAGCGTAAGCTAGTATAGCACGGCCATTGTAGTACACGCACCTCCCCGTCCTCCCCCCATCTATCGTGGCTGCCTGCCAAGGCCAGATCCACGCATTTGACTCTCAGGATCTCATCGATGTCTACATCCCCGACGGCCCTGAGACTGTCCTCTATCGTTGCGAGCAGCAGCCGTGCCCAAACCGGACACCCCGATCGATCGAGGAAGATTACCCTCGCTACAAGGCCATCAGACGGGCTCAACACCCACTTGGACCCCGAAGCACCCTTGCATCTCGATCTGCCTCACGGCACTCCTGCCCTGTCTCCCCCAGCTCCCGACTTCCTCAAGCTGTCGTCGCCAATCCAGGTCAAACGCGAGGAGATCTCCCTCCAGACCCTGTGCCAGAGCCTGAGCCTGAGGAGGGTGAGGGTGAAGAAGGAGTCTCGGAGTCCGAGTCCGCGGATCCTGCTCGGCCCGCCTCGCCGACAGCGCTCGCCCCCGCGTCAGCAGTCCCTGACGTACGTGACCCCTCCCCCGAACTTTCTTCGGCACCTTCACCGCCGACTCCACCGAGAGGCTGCTCGAGCACTCGCTCCTCTCGAAGTTCAACCAGCGGAAGGCCACCACAGCCACCTCCGCCCCCGCAATGTCCTCCGTCCCCCCTGGCGCCGATAATGCCGTCCCCCGCAGCCATCCCCGACAAGGAGATGTTGAAACTCCTCCTCCCACTCCGATACGACGGCAAAACCGTTATCGAGTGCAACCGGTTCCTATCGCAGCTGCGCATCTACTGGCTGATCAACACGTCGTTGACCACCATCGAGCTTAAGGTGCAGGTCGCACTCAGCCTACTCGATGGAGATGCCCGCGCCTGGGCCACTCCCTACTTTGCCCAGCTCGCATTAGTGCAGGTGGGTGTGCAAGGGGCCACAACCCCATTCGCGAACGAAGCAGCCTTTGCCGCCGCCTTCAGGGCCCGCTTCGGAAATCTCGACGACGAGGCGGCAGCACAAGTAGAGCTGGCGAAGCTCTGCACGGACAAGTCGGTCCGCGAAAAACGCACTGCTGCGGAGTTCTCCGCGCTGTTCAAGGGTCCGGCGGACCGCTCTGGGTATGGGGACCTGGAGCTACGCGACAAGTACCTGAGCGGCATCCCCTCCCGTGTCTACCGCAAAATCGAGCTCGAGACCTTTGCCACGTGGCAAGCAGCTGAGAAGCGCGCCACCGAGGTCGAGCAGATCCTCGATATCAGCCGGGCCCGTAGGCCCGAGCTAAACAACTTCTTCTCGGCCCGAGGTCGAGGACGCGGAAGGGCACGTGGTGGTGCACCCTCGACGCACGCAGCTTCGGCCAGCATCAATGCGGCCATCAGAAAAGGCAACTTCCCCGGCACATGCTTTGGCTGTGGGAAGCAAGGGTACCAACGATTCAAGTGCCCCAATTGTAAGGACAAGCCTTACACAAAATGCGCCGACGCGTGGGCTACGGTTGCCTCGGGATCCACCCAGGCTGCGACAAGCGCCCCGTCATGACATCACCCTCGGCAAGTATAAGTGCCGCTTCAGCGAAATCAGAGCAATCAGAGCTGGCGGACTTAATGGCACAGGTGAAGTCGATGCACGAGGAGCTCGAACACTATCGGGCGATGAAAGAGAAGGGTTTTTGATCCGGTCCGCGCTTCGTGCCGCACGCATCGGGCCGCGAGTATCATCATGTAATAGATATAATGTATTATCGACTGCAATGGTGTACGAGCTGGACCAGGGGTCCCAGCATTTTCACATTCCAGTTCGACTCCAAGGGAAAAGACGGCACAAAGACATAATCACTATGGTGGACAGCGGAGCCACCACAAAGTTTATCAACAAGCAATTCATTATAGAAAATAAGGTGCAGACGCGGAAGTTGAAGGAACCAATTCCGCTGTACAATATTGACGGCACCCTGAACAAGGACGGAAGCATCTCGGAGGTAGCAGTGCTACAGATGCACATAGGAGAGCACGTCGAGAAGTCGGTGTTCACGGTCATGGACATTGGTCCAGAGGATGTGATCGTTGGGTTGGATTGGCTACACAAGCACAACCCCGAGATCGATTGGGAGAAAGGCTCCCTCAAATTATCGTGATGTCCTGAAACGTGCAGTGACAGGAAGACTGGCCGAATGGAGCAAGCAGCGACTGCGCGTGACACGGGGGTCAGGCCCACGGCGCGCAGACGTTCGCTGAAGTCCAAACAGTCAGTGATAGGCACCAAGCCCCTCTGGGCCCCGATTCACCTCTTTTCAGCAGTCGCATCCTGCCCGGTGATACGACCTACGAAACCCTAACCCCTAACCTGGGTGCGACCTAAAGGGACTAGAGAGACGGATTATAGTCTAATGAGAGGGGAGTTAGCAGCAAGGTGTCTCACGGTTCGAGTGAACACGAGAAACACCCTTGGAAGAGGCTACGAACGATGGGGAAGGTACGAGGTGGCTTCGACACGTTGTCGAAGCTACTCGGAGGCTGTGGGTGGTTAGCGGAGGCAATCGAAGCTCGGCAGAGCTCTTCGATGTATCATAGAAGGAAGGGACACGATTCGATAGGGTGTACTTAGCTAGGGCGCGGTTCGCAGTTTCTTCGACAATAGTCGATGTCACGAGTTGGTACGGCGCCTAGCCGTTTTTTAATTTTTCCTTTTCGCGGGCTCGAACCCGCGACCTCTGTACTACCTGCCTGATATGGACGCGTCACTATCTACTGTACGATTAGATTAGATGGGGCGGCAGCGCACGGCACAGCTCGGGCCCCGCTGACACAGCCGCTCTGACTCACCGACCCCCGGGGCCGCGTTGGCATGCTGCACACAGACCAGCTGCGCACGGACCAATGTGCACAGCCTGCCCTAATCTCCCCAGGTATATAAGCCGGCCTCTGCTGCCCTAGGGACCTCAGTTTCGACCTCTTGTCCCTAGGTCAGTAAGCCCTCATTTGTATTCCTTTCTTACCTTACTAACTAATACATTCACTTGTCCCTAGCCTTAGGTTTGAGCCTCGCTCACCATCGCTTCGGTGAGAACCAGTCGGACGCCCCTCGCTTCTAGATATTTCCCTGTCGCTTGACCTCAAGTCGCGACATTAGGTCGAAACTCTCCCAAGCGACCGGCGTTCTCTCAGAACCCACACACTTACACTTTCCTTTCCCATAGGTCGGGTGGTGCGCACCCTCACTATACCTTACGATACGTAGATAGCCTACTATACATCGCCAACACTAGAGAAACGAACTCTTCAGTACCTGCGCTTCAGTGAGCGGTACTTGTCCTCACGGACGCGTAGCCTTGGTTCCTGCTGCATAATAGTCAAAAGCAGTATTGGGCCCTATGTGAACTGCAAATCTCAGTGTCATCTTGGGCGCCGTAGGTGTAAGCTAGTATAGCACAGCCTTTCGTAGTACGCGCACCTCCCCTTCCTCCCCCCATCCAACGTGGCTGCCTGCCAAGGCCAAGTCCACGCATTCGACTCACAGGACCTCATCGACGTCTACATCCCAGACGGTCCTGAGACTATCATCTACCGTTGCGAGCAGCAACCGTGCCCGAACCGAACACCCCGATCGATCCCAGAAGACTACCCGTGCTACAAAGCGATCCGACGAGCGCAACACCCGCTCGGACCCCGAAGCACCCTAGCATCTCGATCGGCCTCACGGCACTCTCGCCCTGTCTCCCCTAGCTCCCGTCTCCCTCAAACTGTCGTCACCAATCCAGATCAAGCGCAAGGAGATCTCCCTCCAGACCCTGCGCCAGAGCCAGAGCCTGAGGAGGGTGAGGGTGAAGAAGGAGTCTCGGAGTCCGAGTCCGAGGATTCTGTTGGGTCCGCCTCGCCGACAGCATTCCCCCCCGCGTCAGCAGTCCCTGACGTACGTGACCCCCCCGCCGAACTTCCTCCGGCGCCTTCACCGCCGACTCCGCCAAGAGGCCGCTCGAGCACTCGCTCCTCTCGAAGTTCGGCCAGCGGAAGGCCACCACAGCTGCCTCCGCCCCCGCAACGTCCTCCGTCCCCCCCGACGCCGATAATGTTGTCCCCTGCAGCCGCCCCCGACAAGGAGACCCTGAAGCTCCTCCTCCCCCTCCGCTATGACAGCAAAACCGTCATCGAATGCGACAGGTTCCTGTCGCAACTTCGTATCTACTGGTTGATCAACACGTCATTGACGACCATTGAGCTTAAGGTACAAGTTGCGCTAAGCCTGCTCGATGGCGACGCCCGCGCCTGGGCCACGCCTTACTTCGCCCAACTCGCATCAGTGCAGATGGGTGTGCAGGGGGTTACAACCCCCTTCAGGAACGAAGCGGCCTTCACCGCTGCCTTCAAGGCTCGCTTCGGCAATCTCGACAATGCGGCAGCAGCCCAGGTAGAGCTGGCGAAGCTCTGCGCGGACAAGTCGGTCCGCGAAAAACGCACGGCGGCGGAATTCTCCGCGCTGTTCAAGGGTCCGGCGGACCGTTCCGGGTATGGGGACCTGGAACTACGCGACAAGTACCTGAGCGGCATCCCCTCCCGCGTATATCGCAAGATCGAGCTCGAGACCTTCACCACGTGGTGAGCCGCTGAAAAACGAGCCACTGAGGTCGAGCAGATCCTCGACATCAGCCGGGCCCGTCGGCCCGAGTTGAACAACTTCTTCTCGGCCCGAGGTCGAGGTCGTGGTGGGGCACGCGGAGGTGCACCTACGACACACGCAGCTTCGGCCAGCATCAATGCGGCCGTCGGAAAAGGAGACTTCCCCGGCACATGCTTTGGCTGCGGGAAGCAAGGGTACCGTCGTTTTGAGTGCCCTAATTGTAAGGATAAACCTTACACAAAACGCGCCGACGCGCGGGCTACGGTTGCCTCGGGTTCCACCCAGGCGGCGACAAGCGCCCCCGTCGCTTCATCCTCGGCAAGTACAAGCGCCGCTTCAGCGAAATCGGAAGGTTCCGAGCTGGCGGACTTGATAGCACAGATGAAGTCAATGCGCGAGGAGCTCGAGCATTATCGGGCCATGAAGGAGGAGTCTTTTTAATCCGGTCCGCGCTTCGTGCCGCACGCGTCGGGCCGCGTAATAATAATCTGTACAATGTATTGGCGACCGCAAATGTGTACGAGTTGGACCATGGGTCCCAGCATTTCCACATCCCGGTGCGCCTCAAAGGAGAAAGACAGCACAAGGACATAGTTGCAATGGTGGACAGCGGAGCCACCACGAAATTCATCAACAAGCGTTTCATCAAGGAGAATCAAGTACGAACGCGGAAATTGAAAGAGCCAATTCTGCTTTACAATATCGATGGAACGCTCAATAAAGACGGAAGCATCTCGGAGGTAGCCGTGCTACAGATGCAGATAGGAGAGCACGTCGAAAAGACGGTGTTCACGGTCACGGACATAGGTCCAGAAGATGTGATCATCGGGTTGGATTGGCTGCGAGAGCACAACCCCGAAATCGATTGGGAGTCAGGCTCCCTGAAATTATCACGATGCCCTGAAACGTGCAGTGCCAGGAAGACTGGCCGGATGGAGCAAGCAGCAACTGCGCGTGATACGGGGGTCAGGCCCACGGCGCGCAGACGCTCGCAGAAGTCCAGGCGGTCGGTCATAGGTGCTTGCCGGAGTAAGGTACTCCCGGACTTCGAACCCGAAGATGATCCGGTGGAGGTAGAGTGGGACAAAGCTGACTTGATCGAGGCCTGGGAGCAGGGTGTTACGCTGCCCGGCGCCCCTCAGCTGTTCGTCGCAGTGGGGCACATGTATTCCCAGCTGTTCGCTGAGGAAGAGATCAAGAAGAAGGTCGTCAAAACTGCCGAGGAGTCGGTACCTAAACAGTACCACGAGTTCCTGAACGTCTTCTCCAAAGAAGTGTCAGAACAGCTACCCGAAAGGAAGCCTTATGATCACGCGATCGAACTCGTACCCGGCTACTCGACATTCCACTCGAAGGTGTATCCCCTGTCGAACAACAAACAAGAGGAACTGGACAAGTTCCTAAAAGAGCAACTAGCGAAAGGCTACATATGGGAGTCGAAGTCGCCCATTTCATCCCCCTTCTTCTTCATCAAAAAGAAGGAAGGGACGCTTCGACCCGTACAGGACTACCGCCGATTGAACGCGATCACGGTCAAAAATCGTTATCCCTTGCCGTTGATCGCCGAGATGGTGGATAAACTCCGCGGCGCTACGCTCTTCACAAAGTTTGACGTCCGCTGGGGATACAATAACGTCCGGATCAAAGCCGGTGACGAATGGAAGGCGGCCTTTGTGACCAACTGAGGATTGTACGAGCCCTTGGTGATGTTCTTCGGCCTCACCAATTCCCCTGCGACCTTCCAGGCGATGATGAACGAGATCTTCCACGATCTCATCGTCGGTGGCAAGATCCTCGTATACCTTGATGACATACTCATCTTCTCTACCAACAAGGAGGAGCACAAAAAAGTCACACGCGAGGTTCTTCGTCGCCTTCAGGACAACGATCTGTTCCTGAAGCCTGAGAAGTGCGAATGGGACGTTCCCAAGGTCGACTATGTCGGCTATGTGTTCGGTGGCGATGAGGTAGCAATGGATCCCGCGAAGCTAAAAGGAATTAATGAGTGGCCGGTACCCCGGAACAAAAAGGACGTCCAGAAGTTCCGGGGGTTCTCCAACTTCTACCGCCGCTTCATTAAGGACTTCGCTAAGATCTCGCGACCACTTGACCGGCTCACAGGGAACGACCCATGGCATTGGGGCAAGGAAGAGCAGCATGCCTTCGATGAGCTCAAGCAGCTCTTCGCGACGACTCCAGTCCTAGCACTGTACGATCCTAATCGGGAGACGCGCATCGAGGTTGACGCCTCGGGGTACGCCACTGGTGGCGTGTTGATGCAGAAGCAGGATGACGGCAAATGGCATCCCATCGCCTTCAGATCCCATGCGATGGATCCGGCACAGCGGAACTACGAGATCTACGATAAGGAGATGCTCGCGATCATTGAGGCGCTAGACGATTGGCGCCACTACCTCGAAGGGTTGCCCAATCAGTTCGAGATCGTTACCGATCACAAGAACCTCGAGTACTGGCGTACATCCCAGCATCTCACGCGCCGTCAAGCGCGATGGTCGCTGTTCCTAGCTCGCTTCGACTTCCACATCACGCACAAGGCCGGGACGTCCAATGGAAAGGCTGATGCCCTATCGCGTCGATCAGACCACCAGATCGGCGATGAGGACGATAACACCGATCAGGTGGTTCTCAAGCCAGAGCGCTTCCGCATCGCCTCTGCTAGGCATGGTCATGCCTCGGTGACGGCCGATCAGTCGCTTCTGAAGCGCATCAGGGAATGTTCGGAGAAGGATCGGGAGGTGGCCGAGGCCCTTGAAAAGGTACAGGACCTCGGGCCGCCCCGGCTGCAAAGGGGTTTTGAGGAGTGGAATGCCGAACAAGGGCTCCTGCTGTTCTGCGGGTGTGTGTACGTCCCAAAGAATGCAGAGCTCCGGCGGGATATAGTCAAGATCCACCACGACTCGCCGATCGCCGGTCATGGTGGTCGTGCCAAAACCCTGGAGCTCGTGTCGCGGAATTACTGGTGGCCTGGGATGTCCAAATTCGTCAACGAGTACGTAAGCACCTGTGACGTGTGCAACCGTACCAAGACATTCCCAGCCAAGCCCCAGGGTCCGCTGAAGCCGAATGAGATCCCCGAGCGCCCGTGGCAGATCATCACGCCTGATATGATCGTCGGCTTGCCGAAGTCCGATGGGTTTGACTCGATCCTGGTTACCGCCGACCGCTTTACCAAGCAGGTCCACTTCTCGGCCTGTCATGAGACCCTGACAGCAGAAGGTGCGGCAGATCTGTACATCCGCAACGTGTTCAAGCATCATGGGGCCCCGGCCAAGGTCATATCAGACCGAGGTCCCCAGTTTGCTTCGAAGTATCTCCATGCGGTGTACAAGGGACTCGGGATCGAGCCGGCACTGTCCACAGCGTTCCACCCCCAGACAGACGGCCAGACAGAGCGTTGGAATCAGGAAATTGAGCAGTACCTGCGCGCTCTCACAAGCCACAGGCAGGATGATGGGCAAAACAGTTGCCGC